TGTTCTGCATAAATAATTTTTTTTTAAGTTTTCGTACAACATAATAGTGGAGTAAAATCACAAAAAAAAATTGAATATCAATTCAATATAAATTTAAAACCCATAAATTCACTACCTACTGACAGACTGTTATTAACTAAATTATTAACTTTTCAGGGTACTATTACCTCTCCTACTCTTGGGGACAAATGCAGCGCCACAGGATACCGACATAACATATGTTAAGATGCTACCAGTCGCACATGGACCCGCTGATATCAAGACTACAAGGGCCAGAATTGAGAACTTACCTTTAATTATCCCAGGCAATGTTAGTAGACCTATTAAAAATTTACATGCATCAGACAGCGAACAGGATGAAGTGATCCGTCTTATAAGGAGTGACGTCACTACACAAAGTTATGAAACCGAGACAACGGAACCTCCTGACTCAGCGACGGAAAGAGATGAGTCTTTAGAACTAGCACAGGAGACAATTGACTACGAATCGAGAACTAAAGCCCCAACACCAAGGTTTTTATCCAAACTAAGTTATTTCCAAAAACCAGATGATGCGAAAAGTTCTATAGCGACAAATTTAGTAGAAAGACCTGGGAGGAGACGGTTTAGGTCGAAATGCAGATGCGAGAAGATCTGGAACTGTCCGAAATTACAAATCACCGTGCCGCGATGTCCGAATGAGTACTTTTTGTGCTGTTTTTAAAACTATCTAAGGAAATTGCGAGTTTTCAGAGGTTGTCTAATCTTCACGAATATTTTTTAGTAAAATTAGTATTTTATTATTCACGACATGCTCACGACTGAGTCGACTCTGAAAACTAACCAAGATTGACGAAGAGGCCACATCGCAAGCGAAGCTATATAAGCTAATTTGGCTTAGCTCACGTAGCGGCATGTTTTCATACATCTGTTCACACTGCGAACTAAGCTAACCGAGCTAGCTGAACTATGTGAGCTAATTACTCAAAGGTCCCGCTAAGCTAAGTAAACATTGTCGCCCTTACCTCGTGCGGGGGAAGACTAGCGTCGAGTGACGGCACTTCACTACGGCCCCGTGTTATCTTAACTTGGCTTTGCATGCAACTACGTGAGCTAAGTTAAACTCAGTTAGCTTAGCTGGCATAGTTTGTTGCATGCAGCTATGTGAGCTAAACTAGCTTAGATAGCTTCGCTCGCGGTGTGGCCTCTCGTTTAGATTATTGTGACAGCTCGATCTGTCCATTGGTGTAGCTAGAGAGTTAAGCGAATGGTGATATGGTGGTAATTTGGCCACCAATCTCAACTAGGACTCTTCCAGAATAGAACCTCTGGTTATGTTTGTGGTAACATTATTTATGCCTTAAGCACCCCACCGAACAGGTTATTACATTCCGACGAATTTACGTAGAATTATGCATTTAATATTCGATTGTTAGCAACATTTATGTAGGTATATTGTTTACGATTTTGTTTTGAATTTTACTTTTTCAATACAGTTGCTCCAGTAGTTGTAATTTCTACAACAGTGAGGTTTGTGGAAATTGGTACAGTTTATAAATTATATTTAAAAGTTTAAGTGGCCTTTCTTTACGGTTGTAAAAAATATGAATATCCTAATTATAAAGAAAAATTAATAAATAAAGAAAACTAAGCAAGAAATTCGCTAAATTGATGTAAGTAATTTTTTTGGGTTATTTACCATAACAATCATAATGCTGAGTACGTTCGAGTCTCTACTTTATTATAAACGAACTTGTAATACAATTACAAAAGTATTAGGCTTAATTCACACTGCCGTGGAACGGTAAGGAACGGATGCGTCAATTTCGCCTAGTTGCGCGAGTACGCTCGAATTAGCAAGAATACGTACTCAAGAATTCTTGCGATTGCGCCCTGAGGTTGTAAGTGATGTTTAGTTTAGATCTTTTACACGACAAGGGTGGTAAGTTATTATTTTTATAATGTACACATGTATTTTTTTATTGACATTATTTGTTAAGTAGAAGAAAAAGGAGAACAGAAAAAGAGATGTGATAATTGAATTTATAATTTATGAAAGAAATTAAAACTTTTTGGGCAATATGAAACATTTTGCAAAGATTGAGAGCGTATGCACACGGCGTATTTTATACGCGCCGACGACGCGCGACTCACAAACGCGCGTTTACGGCGTCGTAAACGCGCATCATCTGCGCGTATACGCGTCACAGACGCGCTGTAGTGAATCGATTCAAACGCGCGCATACATCGCGTTGCAAGCAAGAAGCTTATATACTCCACTGGAGTTTAGTTTAGGACACTTAGAATTTCATGTTACTTCATTTCAAAAAATAACTGAAATTAACAAAGAAAAAAAATTAAAACTATCTCTTATACAACGCGTTTGCGGTGCCTATACGCGCAGATGACCCGCGTTTACGGTGCGTATACGCACATCGTCGGCGCGTATAAAATACGCCTTAAGAGAGAGCAGAGGAAAAATTCCTAATCTTCGATTTGATTTTAGAGGGGTATATCCACTTTAAAGTTAAAAATAAAATATTGTATGAGTAACTACACGATATATTCAAGAATAGACATTAATCAGAAACATAAAACAATAAAGTTTCCTCGATAGATTAAAATCACGAAATGACCTCTAATTTTCACATATTTTCGATTTATCCTCGAAATGCTAAAGGTTATTAGGACAAAAATTAGATAATTAATTATATTTATGCATGATCGACAACTGTCACTACGGATTTGTCACTTTAGTTTTAGAGTTATTCCGGTAAAACGAATTTGGTACTTTTAATGCGCAAAATTCAACATCTCCTGTCGCATGTCACGCGAACTTCAGGCACATATTTGTTTCACAAGTTTGGGAGCCAACGTCAGAACTTTTTTGGCATGAGAACTCTTAATATAAAATATATAATACGCTCGGCTCTGTTTCATAGACGCTCGATGCCACACTGCGCCTCCCGCTGCGAGGACTTCCGAGAATGCACGAGAATTAACCGAAAGACGCAACCTGTTTGTTTGGCTTGTATCTAGTTTGTACATTACACAATTGACATTAAGTTCATTATAGTACGTACGAAATTCGTTACAAAAATTGACTTACGTTCCGTTCCGCAGCAATGTAAATTGATCTTTATTAACGATTTTTTAGTACATACATACATTTGTTTGTAAATAGCGTATTATGTGACAGCAAATGTGAACTTGTAATAATATATTATTACTTATTTGAGCATGTGAATTCTTATGCTTACATTCCGCCCTATTAAAACAAAGTATTAAATATTTTTGACAAAAAAATTGTATCTTAACCCGTTCATAGTCGGTAGGTAACGGCGTTTACCGTAAAATAAAATATCAAAATATGATAGTACAGTAGGTACAGGGTACCCCGTTTCGCTATATGGATCTCGAAAAACCAGTGTAGCAACCTTTACAGTGAGATTTCCAAGTGCTTTGTGTATAATTGCCTTGTTACCTACTACATCTCCATATAGTGGTATCAATATGCCAGAAATTTTGATTCAGTCGTTGAACCTGTTAGTAAATTAGACCAATTTAGAGATACAATAAATGCTAGAGCCTCTTAGAATGGTGTCCACCCTAGTGCCTTCGTGCGAGTTAGATATAGAGCGGACAGGTGGTATCGAGTTGACGTAGAACGTAACGTGGTGTCGCTTACCACCAGGCGCATGTGTTCGTCCCGCCACGTAATGTCATGAGAAATACACTTTTTATGATTACGCCGTTACTAAAACCGACACTGGTTGATACAAGTTAACCATAAACCCCTATTCATCAACTTTGGCAGCACCCCTCAGTGACACTGAAACTTAGGCTTAATTTACATTGTGACGGAACCGAATGAAAGCTAATTTTTGTAACGAAATTGTACATAACATTATGTGAACTGTGTAACGTACAAACTAAATACGAACCAAAAAACAAGTCGCGCATCTTCCGGAGAATTCTCGCGCATGTGCATTTGCGGGAATTTCCGCAGCTGCCTAGGCGACGCCAGGCGAATCCACGGGAAGTGGCGCGTATGCAAGCGCAGTGTGACGTCAAACGTCGACGAAATACTGCAACCTCAAGGCGCAGTCGCGAGAAAGCTCGCGAAGGCTCGAGCATTCAAGCGAAATAGACTTCCGTTCCGTTCCATTCCGCGGCAATGTAAATTAAGCCTTATGGGTAGGCGTGTCACCAGTCACCACCAGGCCTACCACTTGTTCGTGCCGTCATTTGATCTCGATAAAAAATATCCCCTTATTACGTTAATGAGGTACCTGAGAGGCGTCGATTGTCGCTCGACTAGTAACATCTGTAGAATACCATGCCCAAAATAAATGATGGCACCCTACAGGTAAGACTATTTTTTTCTACAAAAATCGCAAAACTAACTTCTGAATTCGTTTCAACATTAAAAAACACAGTCGACTGTGGATGGTGGAAGGTAAGTACACAAACCATATATGTAAAGTGTAGTTATGTATTCAAGGTATTTAAAAAAGCAATTGACATTTATTTAGTCATTTTATTGGCACATATATTGGCACATTGAATTAGATTATAAAAATATAACAGCAACAGTAGGCAGTCGTCTTAATAGAGAATGTATACAGTTTTACTAACAATCTATCGATTTTTTAAAAGTATACGATTACATTTAATATTATAATAACATACATAGCTTAAACATTTAGAAAAGAAAAACGACTATTTATAAAAAAATCTAAAACATAACAATGAATTAAAGCATTTGTAACTCAAGCGTCAATACATAATTTTGTGCAAATAATGTAATATATTTTTGTGCTAAGTTAATTAATGAATATTATCACTTATAAATGTTTATGTTTACGCGTAGTATTTTTTTTTAATAAGACGATTGTTTACTCAGTGCGCGTGCACCGAATAAATGCAACTTTATCTATAAATTCGTAGAAGGTACTTTACATAAACGGACACATATAGGTCTAAAAAACACCCTCAGTTTCATCGAATAAGGGAATTGGTTTTTACAATTATTTCAAGAACATTTATAGTGGTAAGTATTTCTAACGCCGTAACTTACATAGCAATTATACTAAGATGCTGGACTGTCCCTGTTTAATATGGGTGTCACCAAAATTATCGACAAGGAATCGTATTGAGTCGATCAGAAACAGCTCTATTGGCGTCGGCAATCTGCCTCCTGAGAATTTCCGATCGCTTCTGTACGTAACCGACAACGAATAATTAGCGTTAACAACTGAACGTTCGCGTCGAAAGCGATTCGAGTAAATAAAACATGGCTGTTTCACGCCCATTCCGAGTCGGTAAGCGTGGTAACTCCTAAAAATCCTTAAAAACCACAAGAGAAGTTCTTTATATGTTGCAGGGCAAAGTGTAATGGTCACATCTAGGACATATTCATATTTCGGTCAGTTCCGTTTACTAGAACAATGGCCAAAAAACATGGTCACGCCTAAACACCTAATATATCCATGTGAACGAAATAAATACTTGCAGCAACATTAACCGCAGGCGTCACAGCAGTTTTATTACCAAATTATCAAGTTGCCGAAACAATCAGCGTAGGCCCAATTTACATATAACTTTGCTGCGGCACGAAATGGAAGTGAGTTTTTGTAAAGAATTGTACACAGCAAAGTGAAGGTACAAACAAGGTAAGAATCCCGACACTGGGCGAGAATTCTCCGAAAGACGCGCTACCTGTTTTTGCCTTTTATATACACACATTTCTTAAAAGTTTATTGTGCTACGGTTACAAAATTCACTTTCATTCCGTTCCGCTGCAATGCGAATTGAGCCTTAGAAAACCAGTTAATAAACACGTAACAGACTACATAATAAAATCCCACCATTAAAAATAAAATATAAGAGAGCACCACATGAGATCTTATCTCAATGCAACAAAGTAGTACTCTATAAATTAAAGCCCTATTCACTTGCAAACATGTTGGACGACATAGTATTGTCTTTGACACGCTGTCATTGGACGAACAGTTGTTATAAATATCAAATAAGATCTTTTATCACTGAACTGGAACAAAACACACTTATAAAGTCGGTGTTTTGTGGAAAGGGTGAAAGCGCCATTTTGAAAAATTTTTGAGGGAAGCACGTTTTAGGTATTAACGACTGTTTTAAAACATTAAGTAAAACATGCTCCCGTGAAAATTTCTACAAAATACTGACGGAAAACGAATGCTAATAAGCAACACCGTGCCAACCAACGTAATTCATAGTTTCGAGAAAATGGCTCACAAAGATTTTTTTAGTAGTTAAGTTTTATGCCAACGGTTTTTATTATTTGGAGGTTTCAAACCACTAAGTTTATGTTTGTAAAAAGTAGACGAAACGCCAAGCCACAATTTGGCATTAATTTTAGAGTTTTTGTTGAGTTAACACGGTTGCTTATCAGTATCCAAATTTATAATATACGCTTCTCGCATTTTCATATAACTCCATACCTCACAAAAATGTTTGCTAGTGAAGAGAAAATACACTAATATCGGTAACGCAAAATGGAAGCTGAGAATTGAGCCGTAACACCGTCAGACCTTAACAACCGCCAGGGTCTTTTTTACTAAATCTAAGCATAGCTTGATCGATTTTGTTGTTTACTTCATAACTAACATATAAACAAATCATAGACAAGAGCGCAGTTATACGGAAAAAAGAGATAGAAATACTATCTTCTCCAACTTTTCTATAATTATTTGAACCCACGTTTGCGAAGATAGTGTTAAGTATAAAAAAATGGATTCCAATTCTTGCATTAAAAAACTATTTTAAGTTCCTTCGATCCCGCAGGATTCGAACCGACGTCTTCTAGCAAACCGTGTTAGACGTTATGCCAACTAAGCCACGGAACGAACCAGCGGACCTCACGAATTTTTCTATGTGGTTGTTTGTCGGTTTGTATTTGGTTTTCAACAACTTTCTAGCCGTAGCGTCATCTATGAAAGTATTTCGTCACCCAGTTAGATAACTTTACAGCTACCAACCCTGGCTAGAGATGTCGCTATCAACTGTTTGAATATTCGATTCAAACAAATTTAACTATTTTAAGTTTTAGTCATCAATTTCATTATATTTACATATACAGGGTGCAAGAAATAGGTCCCAATGTCAGTACATTTCCTAGCCCAGTACATTTCCTAGCCTAGGACAGTTCCTAGGCCGCCAGTTTCGAATACCAACTCCCTATAACCTAACTTTTACCAAGTCAATGTTCCATTTCATGGACCAGTCTGAAAATGCGTTTGAATTGTCAGTCCTGTACAATAGAAGTCAACAACAAAATCAAATAAGTCAATCAATATACACTTATAAATACGATAAAGAGTAATTCGGTATACACATTATGATCACAAATCTACGACACCGTGAGAGTTAACAGAAAACTTTTTAGCGTAGTGGAAGACTTAGTCTGGATACAGAAGGTTGGCTTCACGTCCGCAACGCTCCTGAAAAAAAACGCACGTTGAATTATTTTGTTATTGAGCGTTTGGCTGAGAACTGCCTCAGTGGCCAAACGGTTACCACGCTGGACTGCCACGCAGAGGTCCCAAGTTCGATTCCCGGTCTGGCAGAAATATTAGTACAGCCTACATTTATTTCCCTCGTGAATTTGGGTGTAATTTGTGGTTGTCTATGTGGTTGTCTATGTGTGTGTACATGGCAACCCGACCCGCGACTCAGGGTCTCCCTAGTGCGGAGCTATGAGTGTATCTTTGGATATAAAGCCCTTAGCTTAAAAAAGAATCCTGAGGCTAAAGAGTCGAAGTAACTTCGTTAACAAAGTATTCCCTCTGGATGGGGAAACTAAATAAGCCCGAGTAAGTCTCTGGAAGGAGAGATACCTCACGGCATCACTTATTCCGCTGTCGGAGCACCTTCCTCCAAACTAAGAAGTCTCTAAATAGGTTGCGGAGCCAAGTCGACCGAAGCAAGAAGGTGACTCTCCAGACTATGACACATCTTTTGTCGTGCCCTACACCTGCACATGCAAGGACCTGTACAACGCCACTGATAATGCTGTACCAGGCGCTATGTACTCACAAATATAAGGGTCAGAGTCGGCACGCTAAGAAGAAGCTTAAAAAAAGATAATTAAGATACTCAAATTGTAATATCACTTAAACTAAAAATTAAATAGTGTGAAAACTGTGCCACACGCCATATTGTTTTACGTCGGAGATTGCGTCTACGATTTACACCTACGTTCATCTATGATTTGCAATAATTTAAATTATAGTGTTTTTGTTGTGTTTAGTTTAAATGTTGTACACCTTTAAAAAATATATTTATTTGTTTATTGGTTCAACAACAGTTTAACATACTTAACATTTACATACATTATTAAAACAATGCAAAAGTAGTATGTGAGCCAATTACAGCCGAACACATCATTGTCAGAATCACTTAAAAATAACATAATTAAAATAATAAACTAATTTATACATTATTCAACAATAAATACACATTTAATTCCTATTGTTTACATCAGATTAATTTTAAATAAATTTTAAATATACATAAAAAACAAAATTGAAATGTCCAAAAAAAAAGAATACTAAGATAATTAAATATCTACCAATATTTGACGAGTGGGCCGCGACAACTATGTCCACGGAGTGCGGGGTTAACTGTCAAAATCTGCATGACTACTCAGACTATTGTCGTTGGAAAGCATCCTGGACGCCGGGGAATGGCCCATTAAATTTTTTAATATTATTATCAATATGTCTCCCAGCCCGGGAATCTAACCTGGGACCTCTGCGCGGTCAACTACATAGCATGGTAACCGTTCGGCCACGGAAGCAGTAATAAGTTGACAACGATAGACGCCCATTGTAGACAGTCTAATATTAACATTAAAGCGTGAAACACACAAAGAGCCGGTGCGGATCGGGTCGGGACCGCGGCGGGTCTAATTCCGTGTATTTATATCGACAACAACGCAGAGTGGCAGTTATATTTTGACCTGAAATTACAGACACATGGAACTTGTCAACTTATCCCTCAGATTGGCGCTGTGGGAGTGTCTTAGATCTTTGCGATGTAACGCTCTGAGTGGCATTGCAACTGTTATGGACAGGCGTGTTACTTAATACCAGGCGCACGACTTCTTGGTCTCCTGGTCTTAGTGGGTAGTATGTTAATATTTAATTAAATCTATTTGACCGAAAAGAAAAAAAAAACTTTTTTAATACAGTTGCTCAAAACGTGGTATTTTTCGTACTACAAATCGTGCCGAAAGATGGATTTTTCGCACAAGTGCTATTTACTTTTCCATTTTTTTTATTTACTGTACTTTCAAGTCTTAAACATAGAACTAAAGAGGTTGTATACTGTACCCGTAAGTCGTCAATAAACCTTATATTTACTTACAAACATCTTATTTGTTTAAATTGCATAGGTTTTTTATAAAACAACGGGTTACATTTAAAAATATCAAAATATTTTCCATAAAGATGGCTGATTGAGTATTAACAATGACCGGAGGTGAGTATTACGCGAGACCGCTGCGCGCCGCGCCACTATAATAGTAATTTTAATGTGGCTGAATATTGGCAACAGTTGCCATTGTACTCTGAATTTTTATCAGACAAAGAAAGAAATGAGTTTTTTTTAAATACTGTTTTGTTTTAGTTTCAATGTAGTTTTTTTGCAAATGTATTAAAAAACGTCGTTTGATACACGTGCAGATTTGTCATTTTCACTTCTCTCGTTCGTCTCGAGTCTTGATTAAGAAGCTTCGAGACTCGTGAATAATGACTTAACTTTCCGCACTTGTATCAAAAATAACTATACCAATTTTATTTTTTGTATATCTTCATGACATACCAATAATTTAGTATTATAATAAATGTTAAAAACTCTGTACTGCTATTAAAATTGTTATATTATAAAATATAGATAACCATGTATTACTTGGTACTTGGTACTTGGTGTAACGGGCTGGTGTCCGCAACTCGACGACAACCATGTATTATTTGCATGCCAATTTTGGTGAAATATCAGGACTGTCCTATTATTATATATTATGTGTACCATCTTTTGTAAATCACATTTCAGGCAAATAAATTTAAAAAAACTTCGCCATATGGGAATATTTTCTTCTACTGAAAACATGAATATCACAGGTCTTGTAGTTGTGGTGTTAAGTGAGAGCACAAACCTGGTGTTCGCTGATGAGATAGAGCGGTAGCGACTCCGCGCAGAACTCGCAGGGGATGACGGGCTCGTCCAGCGGCAAGGGTCGCGGCAGCGGGGGCACCGGCGGGGGCGACGCCGTCGCCAGGCGAGCGGGAGACGCGGCCTTGTACTGCGTCAGGTCCGGCCGGCAGCCCGTCTGTACACACGCAAGTTGTAATCCAACAATCGAGGTTACAGTAAGCGACGAGATCTTAAAAAAATTAAATATAACCCGATGCTCTAGAACTAAGTCATCTAAGTATCGAGTCTGTGAGCTCATTGCCAAGTGGTTCAATAACAAAGTTTTTGCCTAGCGATAAAGAGTCGTTTTTTGTAAACCTTTTCTCAAATTGAAGTAAAGTTCTCTCGTTCAGAAATTATATGCCTAGAATTGATCAGTAAACGTAATCGTTTATAAATATTATACTGCTTGTTACTAAAAATGGAATTATATTTCGGGTTCTTAGGTTTTCGCGATTGTTACACATAGGAAATGAAACTATTTTTCCGGATTTAAATCGCGTATATTTGTTTTTTCAAATGGTTCACTCAACCGTGACCATGGGACCTGTAAAGGGCCCGAAACGTCGGTTTGTTTGAAAAAAACAAATACACGCGACTTAAATCCGGAAAAATAGTTTCATTTCCTATGGAATTATATTACTTTCCTACCTAGTGGACGTTTGGTAATTTTTGCACCCTCCCTTCGCATAAAAGAAATTACACAAACGCAACTACAATCCTAACACCATCACCAAAATTTTCAGAAACACCATCACCCCTCAACGCGTGTTTCACCCCTTTACGAGGCATCCTCAAAAAATCTAATTTGTACGACTCTCGGCGTAAGAACTTTTTTTAACTTGAGTCTATTAAATATAATGAATGAATGAAATTGTGAAATTGCTTCACTAGTTTGTTACAAGTAATTATTATACCAAAGATCGAAACACTAAGAAAAATTAATTCAATGGGGGTGAATTCGAATCCTCAGGCAATACGTGCTAGATGCTCTGCCAATTAAGCCACGGAACGAACCAGCAGACCATACGAGTTTATTTAATTATTATGATAATAATTATTAATTTATCATATAAGGTAAATGTCCCAGTGGTTGACGCTTTTCGACGAAAAATCACGTGTTTTGCCAAAAAAATACTTAATTATGAGTCAAACTGACTATCTTGGAATGTCAACATATTAAACGGTTTGTTATTTATCTTCTGGAAACTATACAATTTTAAATAATTATAGCATTATTAAAAAATTCCAGTTTTCCGCAACCTCTAAAATTATACCAGTGTATGACAGACAAAATATCTGATGTCCCAATAGTTGACTATGGCAAAGTGAGATCAGTGTACCAGTATTTGACAGGACATTATGTTAATATTTCATAGTTATTTGACTGGATTGATTACTTTATAACAATAAATTATTAAAAGACAAAAACCAAAATCAAGGGACATGTTTCTATTAAAATTAATAACAAATGTTTGCAGTTTTTTTGCATGGTAAAATTAAACTTAAATGTCACACGATCATAACATATATACAGTTTTAAATAGCGTTAAAAATATTTTCATCTTGCAGTGATAGGAATCCCTCTAGACACTTCATCGGTCGCCTTTAATATATCATCTTCTGAATAATGTAGGCTACAACCTTGGTGGCATTTTCTCATTGCACAATACCTGTAACCAATAGTTGACACTAGTTACGTCCTAGTGTTTGACATCTCAACATACGACGAGTAAAACAGTCTTTGACACCCATGTCAAACACTACTCAAACTACCCATAGAAACTTGCCATTAACAGAGTAATACAAACCTACGTTCTCCGTCCTTATGAAATGGTCGAAATTAAGTCTAAAAAATATTCATTTGTACCAGTGCTTGACATGGGTGTCGACAACTACTACTAAACGCTGAAATCTTTGCATCAGTGTTTGACAAACCTCTAAAATAAAATATAAACGATATACGTCAATAAATACACACAAAACAAATTGTTTGTACAGTTATCTAATTGTTTTAATAAACACTTACCGATAATTAACAAATTCCGACTAATAAATGCACTCAACTTCTCAAAGTCTTAACGATTTTGGTAAGAACAACAACGCACATTCAACTCGGATCACCTGTTCGTAAAAACAGTCGCTACATTGAAAAAATATTGAGTGAATCGATGAAAGCTTCTAAACGGAACTCACATATGCCATTGCACACACTCACTCACATATTTAACACGGTTTTGTAGTTATATCGATGTTTTCTTATTTATTTTTTTTAAATGCAGAAGTGTCATACATTGGGACAGTGGCAAATATTGGTACATTTACCTCAATCATGTACATACTATTTGAGTTTGCCGGTTCAACGGCATTCGGCGTTACCTGGTGGCGCACCAAATCGTAGGCCGGCACGGGGGCCCCGCAGAACTCGCAGGGCAGCTGCACCTCGTCCTCGGCCAGCGGCGACGGCAGCGGCGACGAGCGCCGGCTGTTGCGCTCTCTGCGCTCGTTGCGCTCGTTGCTGACAACCAGAACCACAACAGCAAATGAGATACGCTCACGAAACCTGACTCGCAGCGATCCAGTTGTTCATTTTACTCTTCGAGTATGTAACCAGAAATAGAGACGAACTAAGGGCCATACGTTCGTGGTAACTCATCAGTGATACATCACTTATAAATATCAACTCTCGTTTGCACTGAAATTACAAATTAGAAAGCTGAAATAGTACAGCGCCAACAACTGACACACGGGTCAGTCAGGTCAGGTACGTCTCTGTATATTCCAAAAATATTCTGTATTTATTGTAATAAAGATAACATACGCCATTGTTAGAGAACAAAGGCGTGCTGTTCCATTCGATGGTGTGGGGAAAAGCAGCTAAACATCTAATTACAAAACAAACGGAATCAAATTTCATCGGTCATTTTGCAATTTTCGTTCAATATAGCAAAGCTCAAGTTAACTGGTCGATTTGAAGTGAAACAATTGACGACACCCGTCAATGCTTGCGATACTTGCGGTATCTATTTATCTATGGGTGAAACCAATGACCTAAATTTCTAACTTAGGCACATTTGTGTTCAGCAGGAATACCTTTCGCTAACGGTGCTAGAAATCATTGATATGAAACCTATATGACGAAGGTTCACAACCCTAGGATAATTTGTGAAGTGCTCAATCCGTACCTCGTCTGTTTAGGCGAGATACGGATTGAGCAGTTACTTTAAAGAAAACCCGTGCCCAGCAGTGCAACGTATAATAGGTTGACGGTGATGATGACGGTGTACCGCATCCAATTATCAGATAATTTATTTAGCTAAACCATCAATTAGCAATGTCTAAGGGTCGTATTCTAGAACTCTACTCAATGCTCAAGTCAGGACGTGAGTATTGCAGTGAGCACTGAAAATCAAACTCAAGTCCTTGCCATTAGGGTCGTATTTTCAGTGCTCAAGTCTGCTCAAATCCTGACTTGAGCATTGAGTACAGTTCTGGAATACGACCCTAAGTCTGAGATTTATAAAACGTACTTTGACTTTGGCTTCCTCAAAGCAAAAATGGTGAGGTACCGGCCTACCGTTTAACTCAGTCGGTTCCTGAGGTAGCTGCGCGGTGCGGGGGAGTGACAGTTTACGTAACAGCTATGTCGCGTTGCACATGGGATAATTTCAGCAAGATTTTTCTGACGATATTCCATAGCAAGTTGATTGAAGAAAGTGACGCTTCTTCAAAGTGAGACCGCTTGTGATGCGACACAACACAAGCAGTTACGTCAGATTGCGACACACTAATATAAATCTAACCATATTAAATGTATGAAACCGTTACCGTTCTGTCGCGTCACGACGCGACACGTCAGACAAATGTAAATCGGGCTTAAAGTCTTCTTTTTTAGTATAGTTGCCATTATCACAAATTGAATATCTGCTTAATATAATAATCTGAATCGGATAATTCAAGAGAAAACATTGCGAACGTACGAACTCTCCGACAGCCATGACGGTATTGATTCAAAATATCATCAGAAGGGGCAGAATACGACATATAGATTTGAACGCTAGTCATGACGTCAGAGCGCATCGCGACACGTCACGTCAGACAAATAAAAACGCGGCCTAAGTCCGCAGACAGGGAATTCCACTCCCTAGCCACTCGCCAAGTAAACGTGGAAGCGAAAAGTAGCGCTTCGTGCTACTCCTGGGAATATCCACAACGTAGGGTTGGAGCCCCAGCCTACGTCTAGTCCCCCGATGATGGAAAGGGGAACCTAATCATGCAATTCCTTTGCACACCCTCCGTGATTATATCCTATGGAATACCCATAAGCGGGCAACTTTACGACGATAGGTATAGATAGATGTGCGAGTCGTGTGACCATATATTGAATAGATAGAGAATAGAATGATAGTTGTTCTTACCCATAATTATTAGCGTTGGTTAAATTGATGTTGTTAGCGTTATATGGAGCTGTGACCTGCAACAAACCAATGCAATAGTGTAAGAACCAAGCCCCTATATGTTTTACTCAAAATTATTGTTATAGAATTAATTCATATAACAACATTGGTGGGTACAAAATTGACGAATTCTGTCACCTAAAATTTGACCTTTAAATTCACAACCAGTAGAAATGTACATACAGTTGATAATACCTGGATTTATAAATTTTTTTGTTCTATCTTTTTGATGTGTTATAGTTATAAATCTTTAAAGAAATATATACCGAGGTAGCCTAATGGTTAGACCTACCGCCTCTCAAATAGAGGGTCATGGGTTCAAATCCGGTCTTGCAGTTTTGGGTTTTTCGAAATTTATGTGCGTTTCCGATGAAGGAAGATATCGTCAAGAATATTAGATAACATTATATACGTTGCTCTGATCCCAAAGTAAGTAAATCACTTGTGTTATGAAAATCGGAAACAACGACGGTACCACAAACACCCAGACTCGAGACAATATAGAAAAGTTGTTTTCTACATTTCCCCGGCCGAGAATCGAACCCGGGACCTCAGAAATGACGATAACATGAAAACCGTTGTGCGAACCACTCGACCATGGAGGTCGTCAAACCTAGGAAACCTTCATAACTCTGCAAAGCAATTTAAGGATGTGTGTGAAGTTTTCTATCCGCATTCGGCCCGCATGGGAACTACAGCCCAAACCCTACCGTGTTGTGAGAGGTAGTCTGTACCCAGTAGTGGGAGTATACAGGCTATCCATTATTATTATTATAAAGATACAATTAATCATTTCCTGATTTCACAGGGTGGTATAATCCGCCCTATGTGTGTTATAAAATGTACTTAGCCAATTCCAATCTCTGTTCATAATGATAATATGTGCGTCTGGACATACCTCATTCAAGCCCCGGCGCAGCTCCCTTAGTGAAGTTTTGATCTCGTTGAACCGATCGGGCTTCCTCTCGCGGGAAGATTCCCGCGAGTCCTTCCTTACTTGAAGTTCTTTGAACCTTCAAATGTATGCAGAAGATATTTGAAAATAAATAAAAAAGTAAATATATTTTGGAATTGGTTTTTTTTACACGACATCCAACATTATCAACACTCACAGAACAATATATACAGTAGAAGTGCTTAGTTGCATGCCACGTTTAGCAACTGTTCGCAAAACTTGAGCACAGTCCGCAAATTTTGGCTTAGTAACTTTTTTGTGATTTTTGGGATATTTTTCTAATAATAGTGGCATTAATAATTTTTATACTTTCCAAGACGGGAATTTTCATCCTGCATTTGGATTATTAAGACGCATCACTTGCTAAGCTTCACTCAAAATGTCTCATCTGACAGGATTTTTGAACGCGAGACGGAGGAAGACATCGAACTGTTTTAAAGAGCCAACCCCAGATGAGAGGAACAGGCTATGAATATATAGGAGAATAATGGAAAAAATCAACGGTGGCTCGGTTTATTTGTGCCATAAGTCTATGAGTTCTTCTAAAACAAGGTCCAACTTTTCAACTTACAAAGGTTTTTCATTACTATATTCGTACTTATTCATTCCGTATTTGTAATTCGCCTCCCAATCAATATTCAAAGCTATGCGAGTAATTTTCATTTAATTTTATTACATGTTGAAGAAAATTAAAGACGCCCACGATCCACTTACCTGTCCATAAACTCTTGCTGCGTCATGGGCTTGACATCTCGGAACTCGTTCCTCCTGTCGTCATTGTTGGCCTGTTTGGGGGCTCTTGTAGGTCTCTGCTGGTGCCTGCGCCGGTCCGCCTCCAGGTTGGCGGAGTTCTGAGCGGCCGCAGCTGCATCGCCCGATCCCAGAACATCTCCTGGGAATCAGATGCAATAAAGAGCTACAGTCTGTCTTTTTTGAAGATGGAGTAAAATAACAGTTAATTACGCAAAAGCGTTGCCCGGCTGTTGCTTGCAAGCAGCTAGTGATTGTAGTCGATAAACATTATATCGATTGTTGGTCGCGCTTACGTAATAAATAGCCGAACTACTTTCATTTCAATCGTTATCGGCTCATAATTCGTCCAATTGTTGGGCACAGGTTCTTTGAATTGTCAATTTTTTGTTTGCTGCACACTGCATTTAAAACTATGTCTATTAAAAATACAAAGAGAAGACATATTTTAAAGTTTCTTATTTTAACTCAACATAGATAATCAAATCCGCCTGTTCTTGTCAAAATATATATGAATAAAAATTTATTTCGATACTAGTAGGCCATCGAGTGTATAACCAGAAATAGAGACGAAATGTCATTTAATTTGGTTAAAAACTATTCTGCCAAATCATTACGGTGACAACTGCGCTCCGATTGGCCAGCCCGAATTCGAAACAATTGACAGGTGTCGTCATTAGTTTCACTTCAAATCGACCAGTTAACTTGAGCTATGCTATAATGGACGAAAATTCTAAAAATTACTTAATCTAATATTTAATTAACGACGAAATTTGAGACCCATTATAAAAATTAAAGCCCCCCCATTGTTAGATATATTATCTTTATTATAATAAATTTGTGATTTCTGTGCAAACAGAAGTTGATATTTAAAAGTGATATAAGTCCCATTTCCCTCATGAATTGCCACGGATGGACGGCCCTTATTTCGTCTCTATTTCTCGTTTTATACTCGATGTAGTAGGCCAACTGTCAAAATAAAAATGAAGAAGGTAAAAACGCAATTAGTAATCGTAAATCGTAAGAACGTCGTAACACTCACAAATGAAACATTTTGAACTAAATTTTACATTTTTTTCACAATCTATCGATAAAACTGTGGGCAACAACTACATGACTATTTAAAATTTAATGAAAACTGGCAACCCTGCAAATGTCATTTTACTCCGTCTCTATAACAAAATCGCCAGATCTTAAGAAAAAATGCAAAACCTTCTTCATAAGTATCATTTCATTAGATATTTGGGAACAAACTGTCCTTTTACTCTTTCACGCATTCTGAGCATACGCAGCAAATAGACTGTCAGAATGGAAGAGTATTCGTTCAGTCGCTGCAATAGCCCCAACAGCCCGCAACGCGAAGTAAAGTAAACAAAAGGCCAGAGAAGACATCACAGTAATTCTAAGATGTATCTGACGTTTATCTGGAATTCTCCGTTATCTTGAACAGATAACATGTTTACATTAAGCAGGCACCGAGCTTGTTTAACAGACTCCCATGACGTCAAAGGTCGAGATGGTAATTAAGGTTGAGGTGAAACTGTTGGCGCAGATAAACCGCTGTCTAACAATGCAGGCTTTACAGAACCCAAACTGACCTTTTTTGACCTTTATGTCTATACCCCATATTGTTTGAAGGTACTGGTTTTTTAACATTTCTAAATTATGACTATGTCGTCCATGGTAAGGAGACAGACGTCTGAAAGAATTTTCATTCAGCTACTGCAACAGGTTTCGTGTACGTCCCGATGTGGGCTGGCAATCGTAGAAACAAATTGACCTACCAACGATATCAGGCGGCATCCGAACGCGACTTTGCAGCCGGTTCTTGTAGTCCTGATCGTCAACTTCCCGATTGTGCAGCGCGTCCATCTTACGGAGCTTCTCTAGCTTCGCCGCAGGACTCAGGACCGGCGGAAGGCCTGTCAAGTAATGTCAATATTTTCATCCCCAGTGAGAAATCTATGAAAGTATTTCGCCACCCAGTTAGGTAACTTTACAGCTACCAGTCCTGTCGCTATTATCTGTAATTAAATTTGTATTGAATGGATATTTTGTGAAATCACTCTTCTGGTTTGTTTTAATTATTAATACAAAGATCGAACACTTAGACAAAATTCCTTCGATCGGGCCGGATTCGAAGTCGTTGTAATAGTAAAGTCGTTGAAAAACCAAAATACAAAGACCCGACAACAATTACATGGAGAAATTCGTGAGGTCCACTGGTTCGTTCCGTTATAATAATATTGTCAAAATAATGACTGTAGACATTCATTGAAATGAACTGATTTTTTTTTAAATGTACACCATGTCAATCACATGATTGCGACAAATATATGAATTATGAATTAAGTGTCTGGAATTATGCATGACCTTTATATTTGTTGTTATCAATATTATTTATACTTAATAATGTAATATATGTAAAAAGTAGCAGTAGAGTTCCTTGAGAGTTAGTCCTGGAAAGTGCTGTCACCTTACCTATTTCTGCCGCCAAGCAGTAATGTGACTATTACTGCGTTCCGGTTTAGAAGGGTAAGGGTGCTGGTGAAATTACAAGCACTTGTCAACTTATATCTCAGTGTGACGGCAGCAGTGGCAGTGTCCCTAAGCTCTTTGCGATTTAAAGCTCTGAGTGACACTGCAACTGTTATGGACAGGCGAGTAAAAGTGACCACAGCAGCGGCATGCCCTTACCGATAGATACGTTGTAGGCGCTCTGCTCCTGGCGGCGCTTTTCCTCGGCCTGCAGCCGCTGCATGGCGCTGTAGTAGGCCTGGTCGCGCTTCGGCTCGGCCTTAGGTGGGTCCCGCGCGGGCGGCCGCGGCGCTGGCCGCTTCTTCACTGCGCCGAGGTTCGCGCCCCTGAGAACAAAGCGTACTAAGGAACTTTTCCTCTTTACCCTCCCATCTAACCTGAAGGTCTGGCCCCGGGTCTGCTATTTTTAAAACATCTCAGCTCATTTTTTTATTTGGCTTTTTTTTATTTATACAGAACACAAACTAAAAACTTAACTATAACATGTACATACATAATCAGAACATGGTACTAAAAAACCGACCTAAAGTTTTTTTGAAGTTGGTTAAAAAAAGTAAGTAAAATAGCATTCCTTTTATATTAACTTCCTTCTTAAAATGAGACTTAAGGGGGGAAACTTACTATAATTCTTAAATGCAATAAAAACAAAAAATAATAAGAAAACTACACAGAATCACACATCAATATTAGGGAACAGTTACTCATAAATGTACTATAACTCTGCGAGATCATATCTACATCTCTACAAATATCATTGTAAGTTCTACACATCTGAAATATAGGGCTATTACACGTGACATTATTGGTGCAACAAAGTAACGAAAACAGTCTGAATAGGCATCTTCCTAAATGAAACCTGAAAACTAAATGGAACTTTCACGATTTGCACACGTTATTTGATTTCAAAATCGGGACTTAATCGTGTATAAAACGTATTTTTGTTTGAAAACTATTCTGCCAAATCATTACTGTGACAACTGCCCTCCGATTGGCCTGCCTGAATTCTAAGCAATTGATGGGTGTCGTCAATTGTTTTACTTCAAATCGACCAGTTAACTTGAGCTTTGCTATAATGGACAAACATTAAAAAATAACATATTTAATATTTAATTGCCGATGAAATGTGATTCCGTTTGTTTTGTAATTAGATGTTTGGCTGTTTTTGCCACACCACCGAATGGAACCATTGTTAGAGATATTAGCTTTATTACAATAAGTACATAATATTTTTGGAATATACGTAGACGTACACAGGTCAGTAGTTGGAGCTGTGCTATTTCAGCTTTCTAATTTGTCATTTCAGTGCAAACGAGTTGATATTTAAAAGTAATATAAGACCCATTTGCCTAATAAGTTGCCAGGGATGGATGGCCCTTATTTCGTCTATATTTCTGGTTATATACTCGATGCTGCTAATTGATCAATCTTACTAAGATACATTTCTGTTACTAAAGTTCATTTCCCTTGTTACTACAGGGAGTCGAAAACAGGTCCCCATAATCAAGCGCCGAGATCTCAGAACAATGAATACAGTGGAAGTGGTTAGTTAGCGTCCGACACGTGCCAACTATAGGTCTCGAAACACTTATTTGACTCAGTCCTCCATTCTCGCTTTGTATGGTATGGTTGTGCCACTCTTTCGTGCAAATTCTCTAAAATCCTACAAAAATGCGGCTATAATTTTTGCACTACCAAACAGCACAGTAAGCTGTTTTGGAGTGCAATAAATTTTCAATTTTCTGTTTATCGAAATATTCTTTTTGATATAAGAAACGAAGTAAACCTTATACCCCTGCAATATAGTCGCTTTTTTTTGGAGAACTAAATTAATAACTCCAATTCGTCGTCGTTCAGCAATTAACCGCTAGATGGCAGTACATTGATTGAAATTTCAATATAATATATAAATGTCGTAACTTGCATTTGATGGTGTTGAACTTTCATCGATATGCCAACATAGTAAAGTTTAAATTATATTAACAATCCAGAATTTGTTATTTCTTTTTAAACTTGAAACAACTTCAACTTCAAATTAAGAATGTGTGAGTTTTGGCGACATTGGTTCTCATAGTAATCGAGGCTTAGGGCACTTCCATTGTTTTTTTTTTCTTCCGTGGCCGAGATAAAAGTTAAATCAGAAGCACTTACAATTGGCAAAATTTCGGTCTGTTATTAAGTCTGTTAATATCATGAGGTGCGTCTCGGCGTCGGCCTTCGCCGCTGCCCAGATCTTCTGCGTTGGAACTGAAAAAAATAATAAAATGTTAAGTACAAATTCTATAATAAAACATTTCGACAAAGAACCAACACCAAAGAACCTAGTACTAGATTAGTTTGTGAGATTGCGCGTATTTGGTTGTCCGTGCACTCTTAGGGCGCGTTCCTATTATGCCGAAGCGATTTATTTATCGTTGGACGACTGTCGTATCTAGCCTGTTCCAATATTACGACTATCTTAACTGCCTCGGTGGCCGAACGGTTACCATACTGGACTGCCACGCAGAGGTCCAGAGTTCGATTCCCGGGCCTAGATAAATATTTGTATGACCTACATTTATTTCTCTAGTGAGTTTGGGTTTAATTTGAGGTTGTCTATGTGTGTGTCCATGGCACCCACGATACAGAGTTTCTTTAGGGGCTATGAGTCTGTGCGTTATTATTTGTCGTGACTATGTCGTAGACGTATTATTTTATCGTTGAACGAAGACCCCAATTTATCGGTTCACGGTCGCCTTGTCGTATGCACGACGGAATAGTTTGAAGCTGTAATTATATGTCGTCACATTTTTATCGTGACTTTATTTATCGTAGACGACTGTCGTTCTAGCTCTTCCCATTGTCACAACTGTCTGTCGTCGTAACGTCAAAAAGTCGCCAATGATAGTTAATCGTGTTAACTTCGTACAAGCCACGACACTGTAAACTGCACGACTGTCTGTCGTCACGACATAATGGGAACGCGCCCTTACAAGTCGCGCTACCACGTTTGTATGGAATTACACTATTCTTACTTATTACTATGATCATACCGTTAGAAAGGTTGTAAAACTACGTTTATGCAGAAAAGTGTTTTTGTAAAAATTTACAATAATTTACCGAATGTACTAAGGTCCGAGAAAAACCTCGAACGGGCCGGATTCGAAGGATTTTTTTCTGAGTGTTCGATCTTCGTATTAATAATTATAACAAACTATTATTGTGGAGTCATTTCACCATTAACTTACAATTATATGGACGTCGGGTTCGCGCTAAAAAGTGTCCGAACTTATAGGGCGTTAAATCGTATACAGAGCGTCATTCACGCTTTAGTCTTCGTTTGTTCGACTGACAGCGAAGCAAGCAAAATTAGACAGTACTGCGATGACATTACAATTTAAATTCAACGTTTTAGCTTTTTTATATTCCTTTACATGTCACTACGTTTAAATAGGTTGACTTGGGACATTTTTTTCGTGGTTTTTGTATTAGACCCGTGGTCCATTTATTTGTAAGTCAATGCATTTCACATAAAAATAATTGAATATCAATTTAAGTACAATGAATAGCGACATCTCTAACCAGGGCTGGTAGCTGTAAAGGTATCTAACTGGGTGACGAAATACTAAAGATTTCTCATAGATGGCGCTATGGCTAAAAAGTCGTTGAACAAACCAAATACAAAGACACGACAACGAACACATAGAAAAAAATCGTGAATGCAGTTGATTCGTTCCGTAGCTTAGTTGGTACAGCGTCTGCCACGGTATGCTAGAAGACGTCGGTTCGAATCCGACCGGATCGAAGGAATTTTTTCTGAGTGTTCGATCTTTGTATTAACAATTATAACAAACTAGTGGAGTAATTTCACAAAAAATAATTGAATATCAATTCAATAAAAATTTAATTTATTCAGATTGTTATGATTTTATTTATGTTTACAAAGATTTCGACTTAGAAAAATTTGAAAAATTACAATAATTAACGTGACATCTCTAATCAGCGGTGGTAGCTGTAAAGGTACCTCTCTGAGTGAAGAAATAAATTTTTCACAGATGGCACTATGACGTAAAAAGTCGTTAAAAACAAAGACGTGCAACAAGACGTTTGTTAGAAGACGTCGGTTCGAATCCGGCCGGATCGATGGAATTATTTCTAAGTGTTCGATCTTTGTTATTAATAATTATAACAAAGAAGTGGATAAATTTCACAAAAAAATAATTGAAACTCATGGTAGTCAAATATCGTGACATTCAATAAACACTTGAAAAATTTATTCGTATTATTAATGTTTTTTAATATGAATAAATTTTCAATTTGGCTTCCGGCCTGTCTAAAGCTTTAGACATGGTATCCTATAATATACTTTGGAATAAAATGTATAACACGAGTATACCTAAAGAAATGGCAGGATTGTTTAAATACTGGTATGAAAATCAAGTAAATTATGTTAGATGGGCCGGGAAGTCTTCCGAGGAATACCAGATGGAATGTGGGGTGAGACCGGGGGGAGCTGACCTCATACATACTATTTAACTTATATATAAATGGACTGGTTGAGGAGCTCAGCAGCGCCGGGGTAAGCTGTTCAATAGATGGTTGTGTTGTAAATACCATAAGTTATGCAGATGATATGGTGCTGCTGAGCCCTTCAATCAGTGATCTAAAAGTATTGATAAATGTATGTGAAAGGTTCGACGAGATCCATAGACTTAGATACAATGTTAAAAAGAGTGAACTGTTAATTCATTTCAATAATACTATTATTATAATTTTGACTACCATTTTTATAGTTACCAACAGCGCCAAGACCCATAAACAATAAGGAACCCTAGATGCACCGTAACACCAAACGAAAATAACATCTGATGCTAACCAGAACTCGATAATAGCAACGTTATCTTGGGACGCAATAAACAACCATAAGATAATTGTTTTTGCTTCAAAACAGAGCACATACCGGGACTGCATTTTTATCTTAATGGTATGCTGGCGACAGGCGAGATTCCAGAACACTCTCGAGGATCTATGTACAGACGCCACCTCACCCTTACCGGCTGGTATAAAGAATCACACACCGGCGGCAACGTAGCAGTTCACACACACAAGTAACCCGAACACAAGCTCCGAATCACTCCAAATACGGTATAATTTGTACCATTTTGTAAAATGGTAAAACTCAATAAATCCGTATACATCCTGAATCGACGTTCTACGTTATTGAATTAGAGAAGACCCCCGACTCCCCGAAAATTACGAATTACATACCTTTATTAAAATTGTCCTATATAAATATCACCGCGTTTAAATTATTGACTGACTTATTACATCCACGTGTGCACGCCCATGTTATATTTAAAAAAAAACATATCACACCTGGTTTAGTCTGCTGAAGTGCATGTGAGTGACCGTATAATATACCTTCAATATTTGTATACCTAATGTTTGGCCGGACACAGTGAAACTATACTTCGACCCTGGAAAGGTAAAACATCTAACGTGCATTTGGAAAATATTACAGAAGAGCGATTAAAACAAAATTTTTTAATAAAAGAAAAATCACAACTCTAATTTTATTTGTTACTTAGAAAAGCTGACACTTTCTAGTTTTCCATATAACAAATAAACTTAGATTTTTTTTATTAAAGATAGAGACATTGACTTACAAATAAATGGACGACGGGTCTAATACAAAAACCACGAAAAAAATGTCTCAAGTCAACCTATTTAAACGTAGTGACATGTAAAGGAATATGAAAAAGCTAAAACGTTGAAATTAAATTGTAATGTCATCGCAGTACTGTCTAATTTTGCTTGCTTCGCTGTCAGTCGAACAAACGAAGACTAAACCGTGAATGACGCTCTGTATACGATTTTAACGCCCTATAAGTTCGGACACTTTTTAGCGCGAACCCGACGTCCATATAATTGTAAGTCAATGGATACAGGCGATATTTTTTTTAAATACCAACTGACGGAACGAACAAGTCGTGCGCCTGGTGACAAGCGACACGCCTATCCATAACAGGTGCAGTGCCACTCAGAGCTTTAAATCGCAAAGATCTTAGGGGCACCGCCACTGCGCCCGTCACCTGAGACATAAGTTGACAAGTCCCATGTGCGTGTAATTTCACCGGCACCTTTACCCTTCAAAACCGGAACACAGTAATACTGCTTGGCGGCAGAAATAGGTAAGGTGGCAGTACTTCCCTGGACGAACTCTTTCACAAGGAGCTCTACTGCTACTACTTTAAAACGCTCTCCAGTCATATTTTCCAAATGCATGTTAGACGTTTTACCTTTCCAGGGTCGATATATTTTATTTATTATATTATTTATTATACAACGTCACTTTTCACAAATAAATGAATTGTGAACCGTGGCAAGAAAATTAAGTCTTAAAATCTATTATTCATACAATTATGAAACCCATACTCACAAATCTTTATTAACTTTGCTGGTAGCCTCCACGGCAGTGTTAATCTGTGGCTGATCATTGGTCCTCTTCAACGGCACCTTCACCCCGTTGTACAAGCCCTGCGCGCTCTGCGGCCGCGACAGGTTTTCTTGCGATGAATTCGTACTGCTCGAAGAACTGGCCCCAGCGTTTATTTTACTAAATATTTTTATTTCCGTTTTAGGTCGATCGTTTTCTACGTTGATATTTTTGGACGTGGTTGCGCGGATGCCGTTGCTCGTTGATGGTGCGGGGTAAACGTTTGGCCGCAATTTTAATGGTTTTATTAGATTACTGCGCGGTGATTCTTTCTTTGGTTGTGGAACTGGATCTGTAAAGAAACTTTTCATGAAGCTGCACATTATTGAATTGAAATTGAACGCGCTTTTTGATAAGCAGATGCAGTGCCTTGTCAGAAAGACAATACCTATAAATAGAGATGGGAAAAACTGCTTATTTTTTTAAACGTTAAAAAGTTGCAGCTTTGTTTAAATAGTTATTTTTAGACGCTTTTCACTTTTTACTTTGTCGCTTAAAAAATCGTTTAGAAAAACGTTTAAACACATAGACTTTTATGTTAAAAAAGCTTGCAACGTTGTGTTGATAGCTAAAAGCAAGACGCTCTTAGGCAACAGTACACGACTAAAGGTTAAGTAAGTTTATTTGTAAAACACGAGTTTTCTTTTTATTTTATTTTTATTAACCCTGAAACCCTGTGTCGTGGGTTCCATGGATACACACATAGACAACCACAAATTACACCCAAAGTCACGAGAAAAATAAATGTAGGCCATACAAATATTTCTCCCGGACCCGGAAATCGAACCTGGGACCGTGGTAACCGTTCGGCCACCGAGGAGGAGGATCTTTATACACATCTACGAATAAATTTGTTTAGGAAACATAAATGGCGGGACTTGAGACTTAGGGTCGTATTGCAGAACTCTACTCAATGCTCAAGTCAGGATTTGAGCAGACTTGAGTATGATTTCAAGCACTGGAAATACGACCCTAATGGCAAGGACTTGAGTATGATTTTCAGTGCTCACTGCAATACTCAAGTCCTGACTTGAGTATTGAGTAGAGTTCTGGAATACGACCCTTAGACAGGTTGTAAAAAATGAAATTGTTGAGTATAGAACTGACCAACGCTTACTCTTAAAATAAAAAGCGTGCTTATGTGCTTATTTTAAAAAGCAAACTTTTTAACGGCTTTTCGTTTAAACGCCAACTTATACAGCTATAAAGCAGATAGTAAAATACATGACTTTTACTCACAAAGATAATACAAAACTAAGGGTCGTATTCCAGAACTCTACTCAATGCTCAACTCAGGATTTGAGCAGACTTGAGTATGATTTCAAGCACTGGAAATACGACCTTAATGGCAAGGACTTGAGTATGATTTCTAATGCTTTGAATCATACTCAAGTCCTGACTTGAGCATTGAGTAGAGTTCTATAATATGACCCTAGGATTGAGTGCATCTCAGGCGATTTAGATTTACGCGGAATTAGCTTGAGGCTGATATGTATTACCACTCTAGTCGTATTAAGCTGATTCATAGTCATAGATCTTTATCTAAATAATGTAACCTAACTTTGTTTTTAATAACACTAAGTGACGGGACGACCAAGTCGTGTGCCTGGTGGTAAGCGACACGCCTGTCATAACAGTTGCAGTGCCACTCAGAGCTTTAAATCACAAAGATCTGAAAGGCACTGCCGCTGCGCCCGACACCCTGAAACATAAGTTGATAAGTCCTATGTGCCTGTAATTTCACCAGCACCCTTGCCCTTCGAAAGCTTGTAAAGTAAAATATTTACACAAAAACAGGCCCTTTCGGGGTAAGTTACTTTTTTACCATATCTAACCTGCGTGAAATTTAAGCAGGAAGTGTTTCTATATGATTGTACCTGTGTTTATACTGTTATTTTGTATTGTTACAGCCATTACTGTAACTTTTTTCCTTTTCCCGTTCTTTACCTATTCCTATTTTACAATAAATGATGTGAACTGCCTAAAAATCATTTGATTACTCAAAATCCTCGGCCGCAACCTGTACCCGGCTGTTTAAAGAGTAAACTAAGTAAAACAAAAGTGGTACCGTCATCGAGGCGAAGAAAGCCATGGTTGGAGTCTAGATGCAGCTGGCGGTACTTGATCATGACGTACTCTTTGCAGTCGGGGCACTGCTCCGTGCGTACGCCGCAGTAGTTTTCGTGAGTGGGCAGCTCGCGACGAGGCAGCTCCAACTCGCAGTATCTGAGGGAATGTTATGACATGCCAGCGACGAAACGTAAACATAAAGTGTAGATCGACCATGTCACATAACGACTGTTGACAGCAATTCAACGGGGATAACAGTAACAAGTGCTTTAATCATTGACATACAATTATATGGACGTCGGGTCCGCGCTAAAAAGTGTCCGAACTTATAGGGCGTTAAAATCGTATACAGAGCGTCATTCACGCTTTAGTCTTCGTTTGTTCGACTGACAGCGAAGCAAGCAAAATTAGACAGTACTGCGATAACATTACAATTTAAATTCAACGTTTTAGCTTTTTCATATTCCTTTACATGTCATTGCGTTTAAATAGGTTGACTTGGGACATTTTTTTCGTGGTTTTTGTATTAGACCCGTCGTCCATTTATTTGTAAGTCAATGGCTTTAATCCATAGATTAGGCTTACACAATAAGACAAATAGTGTGACTCCTTTTACTTCTTCCTCGTTTTATGTGTAACGTCTTTAGTAGCTGTCGATCTCACTGTGAAAGAGTTCGTCCAGGGCAGTACTGCCATCTTACCTATTTCTGCCGCCAAACAGTAATGTGAGCAATACTACATTCCGGTGTAGGAGGGTAAGAGTGCTAGTGAAATTACAGGTACGTGACACTTGTCAACTTATGTCTCAGGGTGACGGGCGCAGTGGCAGTGCCCCTAAGATCTTTGTGATTTAAAGCTCTGAGTGGCACAGCAACTGTTACGGATAGGCGTGTCGCTTACCACCAGGTGCACGATTCGTTTGTCCCGTCACCTGGTACTATATTCATCATACTCTCATAACTAAGAAACTATTCCGCTATGCTGGTATAAAAAAATCAACATGTAAGCATTTAATAAAGGTTATTTTAATCTAAATTACTTTTTTTTCAATGTAAATGTAAGTACAACAAAAATAATAATATGACAACCCTATGCTACGAGCGAGCAAAGCATTGACGCACCAAACAGGACCGCACCGAGTTGGACTACATTTCTTGTTACAGGTTTGTGTAAACATTATATAACGGTTTCCTAAGTAACTCAAGTGTTGACCACGTCTTTTTTTTGTACCATTGAAGCTCTAATACACACTGAGCAACTTCAGAGCTTCAGTGAATGTTTTAATTGACTGCAATAACATATCGATACCTGCATGATTTGATGGTGTGTCCACATGAATCTCGTATGTGGTCCTCCAGATCTGTGCCACATACACTTTCTCCGCACTGCTTGCACGGTACTGGGAAGTAAAAATATATTCTTATAATTATTAATACAAGGATGGAACACTTAGAAAAAATGTCTCGATCCGATATGATTTGAACCAGCGTCTTTCAGCAAACCATGTCACACGCTATGTCAACCAGCCACGGAACGAACTAGAGGACCTTACGAACTTTTCTATGTGCTTGTTGTAAATGTTTGTTTCTGGTATTTAACGACTGTTTTACCGTAGCGCCATTTGTGAGAAATCTATTTCTTACTCAGCCAGGTATCTTTCTAGTTAGGGGCGTCGTAGTGGTAAATCTGCGGGATCCAACTGCGTCCACAACACCCGGTCAAGAGGCTGCACCGGGGGGTTTTTTATCGGAGGGTCAGTCCCATATAAAGCATTTTCCCCCGTTAAAAAAGGTACCTTTCCAGCTAACAACAGCTGCAAGAGATGTCGCTTTAATAATTAAGTTTAAGCAACCTTTAAGTTATTGAGTGTCATGTTTGACCACCATCATTGACTTACAATTATATGGCCGTCGGGTCCGCGCTAAAAAGTGTCCGAACTTATAGGGCGTTAAAATCGTATACAGAGCGTCATTCACGCTTTAGTCTTCGTTTGTGTCTTCTGACAGCGAAGCAAGCAAAATTAGACAGTACTGCGATGACATTACAATTTAAATTCAACGTTTTAGCTTTTTCATATTCCTTTAAATGTCACTACGTTTAAATAGGTTGACTTGGGACATTTTTTTCGTGGTTTTTGTATTAGACCCGTCGTCCATTTATTTGTAAGTCAATAACCACCATGACATTAAATTATTTTTGTAAAATCACTCCACTAGTTTGTTATAATTATTAATACAAACTTTGAACACTTAAAAAAAATTCCTTCGATCCGGTTGGGTTCGAACCAACGTCTTCCAGCAAACCTCACCAAACGCTATGCCAACTAAGCCAAGGAACTAACCAGCGGACCTCACGAATTTTCCTATGTGCATATTGCAGATCCTAGTTTTCGGTTACGTTTTAGTCGGAATATACACACAAGAAACAAAACTTAAAATATGTAACAATAAACACAAAAAAAAGTTGAGTTATTAACTGACATTTATAAGAACCACTGGCCACATATACCAGAACGTTTAATCGAAGTCAAAAGACGATTTAAGTTATTCTTTTTTCAAATTAAATGTTCTGGTATATGTGGCCAATGATCCATATGAACGTTATCATAATTCATAGTTTTTTTAGGCCCAATCTAGGTATATTGTGGCGGAACGGAATGGAAGCGAATTCTTGTAATGATATTGTACATGGCATAATGAACTATGTGGTCAATTGTGTAACTTACAAACTAGATCTTCTCGCGCATGCTCGAGAATGCTCACGCATTCCGCGAAAGATTTTGACTCGTATCTAGGTAGTTATCATAATAATATGGTAACAAAAATTCGCTTCCATTCCGTTCCGCCGCAATATAAATTGAGTCTTAGCGTTCCTGTAAATATATAAGTCCATGAGTGTATATTATGACACATGCCACAAGTAAATATTTGAGTGTTGGACCAACCTAGGAAACTCTCTGTACTGTAAGTGACCAAAGCAAAGAAATTAACTCTGGGACGCTCAGACTAGGAGCAATTTTATTTAATAATATTATTTTTAATAAGGCCAATAACACTCGGGCGTCAATGTCGGCAATGTAATGTCAAGGACCAATTCAGAAAAGTTAATTTCCAATTTCGTCCTAGCGGGAATCGAACCCTCATATTCTTGCAACCAGTGTTAGCCGTTGCTTCACCGAGGTCGTCAAAATTGGTGCTACAAATGCACATTGTCTTTTTCTTCTATCGCGAGGTCCATATTACCGCTAAATAAAATCCAATGGACCTTTATTATTATGCTCAGAATCAAAACCATATTTGATCCCTTTGACCTTTCTGCCTTTCTAAACCTACTCATTACCAACCTGGCTGAATAAAGAAAACTTTCATAGGTTTCTCACGGCCAAAAAGCCGCTAAAACCCAAAAAGAGAGATCTTCAACAGACACATAGAGTAATTCATTCCGTAGCTCACTAGGGAAAGCAAGCCCCGGTTAAGCGAAGTCGCTGGTTCCAGTCCAGTTGAACCAAAGGAATTAATAGCAGAAGAGCTCTTTGTGAAAGGGTGCGTCCGGTGTAGTACTGCTACTTTACCTATGTCAACTATCTGTGTCCAGGTTTTGAAGGGTAAGGGTGCTGGTGAAATTACAGGCACATGGGACTTGACAACTTATGTCTCAGGGTGACTGACGGGCTCAGCGGTGCGCCTCAGATCTTTGCGATTTAAAGCTCTGAGTGGCATTGCAACTGTTATGGACAGGCGTGTAGCCTACCATCAGGCGTACGACTTGTTCGTCCCGTCAATAGATGTTATTTAAAAAAAGTTTATATTTTGTTTGTTCAATCATGAAGATTGATCAACAATAAATTGTAGCAATGTCATCGCAGATATTAATAAATAACAAGGCAAGCAGTTGATGCCCCATTTTTGTGATACCAGTATCAGTATCATATATTTGATTGTGCTCTACAATTTTAAGTTTTGTTTGGTTTTCTCTGCTTTAGCTAATTGGCATTGCCGGCTCAAATAATGATACATAATATTGTCCATAATGCTTCTTACACAATTTGTGCAGTTTATCATGATGTTCCTGCAGCTCCGACTGTGGTACAGGCTCCTTGCATACAGGACAGACCTTGATGTTGCGTGCACAGTGCACTGTGTGGATTGTGAAGTTCACAGCCGGGATCTCCCGCTTGCTGAACATATTAACAAATAGGCAGTGTTAGAGATGCTGCAGGCTGTGCAACTAATAATAACAAAAAATGCCTGTATATCTTATTCAAATACATCCTTTATTGCACAAAGATAAGATATTAGAAACACATGTTACAAGGGACACACACAAAGGCGAGCTTCTCTCTAGAAAAGGTCTCTTCCAGTCAAACCCATTTTTGTGGTGAAGAACGAAAATCTGCAGGACTATTCATTACAATGAATGATAGTATATACACCAACATAAACTTAATATACATAAATAAATAAAACACATTATGTATTGTTACCTAAACAAATTATTAACTTATATTTTACTAGCAGTAGACTTCCTTGTGAAAGATATCGTCCAGAGAACTACTGCCACCTTAACTATTTCTGCCGCCAAGCAGTAATGTCAGCATTACTGTGTTCCAAATTGTCATGGGTAAGGGTGCTGGTGAAATTACTGGCACATGGGACTTGTCAACTTATGTCTCAGGATGACGGGCTTTAAAGCTCTGAGTGGCACTGCTACTGTTATGAACAGGCGTGTACCTTATTACCACCAGGTACACGACGTGTTGGTCCCATCCCTTGATATTATAAAAAAAAAAGAATATCATTGTTGACAGGGTCCAAGGTTCATTCCTTGAACACTGGACCAAAATTCACACATACCCTAAACATATTTGTTATTACTAACATTGGTGTGTAAGTTATTATTTGTTTTACTAACCAATATGGTTGTAAAACATTTGTAATAAATAATTTGAATTTCAAAAGAAAGAACAAAAATGAAGTGGAAAAAAATATTTTAATTCAATAATGTATAACATATTCACACAAGTTGAAGTTGAAGTTGAACATATTCACACAATGTATTTGTTTGTTCTATTGATACAGTACCTATTATACAGTACTATTTTTAAATTCCAATATACAGAGTTAATTTATACAGAGGAACGGCCTTTTAAGAGTCATTGATGTTTAATAAATACAAGAGAATATTATTATAGAGGCAACCTTTAACCCCGTAAAAAATAACTACAAACCAAGGTTAATAAACTTGTGTATCTAAAAGCGTTAAGATAAAATTTAAAGTGATTAGATAAATATATTGTTCTGGTCGGTATTGTGTCATGATTTCAAGAAAAATATGCAATCATTTAAATATAGAATATCACTATATACACTTCAATGAAAGTAAAGTGTTAAAATGAAGGCAAACAAGATATTACAATAGAAAAATGACAATGCAATTATAAGTTCCGCGAAACTTGCGAGTTTTCATATATTATAAAGACAAGAGTTCCCGAAGTGTTAATCATTCATATTAATGCAAATAGTAATCTAGTTTTATTAGGAGGGAAGAGAATTTTATTAGTATAGAATTATGAACATTGATTGGGAAGGACCTATCTCCCAAGACACAGGTTTACTTTGAGAGATAATGTATAACTTGCTCTAGTATCAATAAGTATATATTTCTTTCATTTCATTTCAATTACTAGATGCAACTAGATGCTCTCCTCTTCAATTCAGATATCATAGACAGTCCTCTATTAGTGCATGGTGAGGGGAGGAAATGGCTGCACATATCCTATTACAATGCTCCGGCCTGGCTACAGGCCAAAGTACCTGGAAGTCCTCAAATTCTTTGTCAGGCCCACAAAATATGCTGAGGTGGCACAAGTAGGACCTTGCATACATCACATGCAAAATAGGCACCTAGACGTCGAGTCACACACCAACCCATTACAACATACCATACCAATTGACTGTTCTGGACAGTTGTCTTCATCACAAAAGTCACAAATTCATTAACACATTCAGCCAAGGGCCCCCAGGGAAAAAATCATGGGAATCACTTTTTTTTTACTCATATATTTTCTAATGGTATTAATTTAGTGTGTGTAATTAATTTTATAAACCCCTTCCCCTGTGCCCTGTTACTCTTTTTTTTTTTCAGTTGTATCAGGCACGATACACTGGCCTGGTAGCTTTATTTCATACATTTAGCTAAATGTAGCTAATATTTAATCACTAAATAATTATTAATTATCATTCATTAATCAGCAATCTAATTATTAATATATAAGCTAAGTTTATTGTAGTAAATTTGATCCCACTCAGTAAATTAATTCAGTAATTTAAAAAAAGGCAATTGAAACAATATCGCACTGTTAATACAATAGTGTATTAACTCAAAAAGAGAACCTTATCAGAATCGATAAAAAACGAATTACTCACTTCCCGCAAAAAAATCACTAAAATTTATATGTTTTAGTTTATTATAGCCACACGCAAAATAGGCGCTTTGTCGTCGAGTTGCGGATACCAGCCCGTTGCACCAAGTACCAAGTACCAAGTAGTTTATTATAGACACTTAAACAATTTCTCAAATATATTCAAAAATAAAATGGAAAAACAATTTCACATTTTTGAATGAGGATTATTTTGGCGAGAACTAGCATACATAAAGTATATCTCGTTTTGAGTTAAGTACATATCTTTTGATTGTTTCTTACAATATTCTAACGACGGTTTCTTTGACGTGTAGAGAATCAAATTACACATTCAGTAATGATATAATATTGAATTTCACATAGTTTGAGTTACAACACTATTGTAATAGCAGTACGATATATTCAATTTTTTTTTCTTTATTGAACTAACTTCAAAACTATCACAGATATTTATATCCCAAAAACACTGAACGATTTGTGAGGGCCAGGGCTTTCAAACTTTCATACAATATGTTTGAAACTACATATGCACTGAGATAAGTTGGCCAAAAGAGGCAAGCCTTACCTGTGTATAGGCAGGGACACAATGGCCTGGGACAAGGGTGTATTTCAAGGTATACCACATTACGTTGAACATGTTAACGAATAATATATATGCTCCTCTAACAAGATTCTGGTTGATATTCAAAATTTGTCATTTACGAGATAAAAAACTATAGTAAAACAAGAACTTTATACTAAACGCAGCTACTATGTAATTGAATTTCAGATTATTTCTATGTATGATATATCAAGTAATAATTTTACAAAGCATAATTTTATTTCTAGATTTTTATTCACTCTTCTCAGTGTAATAAATGACTGAATTTGTGACTTCTGAGAGTGTTAAATCAAATATATTTCCTTACCTAAGCTTTTTTCGGTTTTTCAAAGAGGGTACATCTGCTTTCTTTGTAGCAGATTCTCATTAGACAAAAATTTTATGATACACTCCAAGAACAACAACACTTTCAACATTGCAACCCTATCTAGCAAACATTAATGCTAATTATCTAAGAAAAATAACGAGAGAGCTTTTACAACAAATCCTTTTGATGAAAGGTAAACAACCGAGAAAAAAACTACAACAGCTGTACATACATTTGATCCATATAACATCTAAAAATAAACTATGCGTACGTACTTAGATATAAATAGGACAAATATTGACACAACAGTTTTATATACTTTGCAGCGTGTACTCACCAATTTGGGCAGATTTTTTGCTCCTGTTCATCCATTTTCACAATATTCTACTTAAACTGGAGTACTTTTTAACATAATATGATCGAAACAGTTCCTTGTTTTGTTCAAGCAATAATAGATAACTCCTACACACGCTTTGCTCTAATGGATTTTTATCGTTTCACTAGTTTAAATACTTGTTATCAATTCAATATGTACCCGATTTGAATATGAAATAAAATTTCTGAATTTTCTATATCTCGGTAAACCCCTAACCAATATTTTTAAAAATTTGACGTTAAGTAGTGTTGTCTAAGTAACGACATATTTATTGAGTATCGATAGTGGTTACAGCGAACAGTTGAATCGATTAAACGCTTATTACACTTCCCAACTTCAAAGACTCTGCGTAAGGTTGGGCATATTTTCGATTTAGGGAGAGCCGCCCGCTGTTATTAACTTATATAATTTAGGTCGTCCAAATAAGGGACCTAAATGCCTAACTCATGTAATAGACCTCCCTAAAATGCTTACTACACTATCCGATTTCAAGGGCCCTGTCATAAATCATACACTCTTTGGGCTCTTTTAATTAGCTGCTCCGCAGTGGCTAGGTATACTTACATTTCATTGTAGTCTGGATTTGGATGGAGAAAGGATTATTTTGAAGTGAAATTGAAAGTTTTTAACCCCACGGGCGGCTACATTACATTACCGCCTTCAGGCGGTAACGGATTTTTAAAGTTTAATTGCACTTTCTACTACTCATTCATAAACGTTAAGATTAAGCAAAAAGATTGAGGGTCGTATTCTAGAACTCTACTCAATGCTCAAGTCAGGATTGCACTGGAAACACAAGCACTGGAAATACGACCCTAATGGCAGGGACTTGAGTATGATTTCGAGTGCTTTAAACCATTGAGTAGAGTTCTAGAATACGACCTTTAATGCTCGAAAAACCTGAATTATTTAATTTAAGCTTGAGTATAGAAAAAATACTAAACATTTGGTAAATTAATTTTATAAATTCAAATTCTGAAGCATTAGAAATTATTTATTTTAGACATAATATATCTTTAACCATCATGGCTGTATTAGTTTTTACAACATTTTAGTTCGTGTTGGAAGAATAGCTGGCCATCTGTTTATATAAAAAAAACGAAAAACCCTTTTTTTTGCAATTTGCAAAATCTGTAATTGTGTTGCGATATTTGTTCATACAAAAAATAAATTATCATTAGATTCATTTCCTCGCAAATGTGAAAATGAAAAGCGTTGTATGTAGCACGGGCCGTAAAAAATTCCAACCCTTGCAAGTCATTGGAGCTCTCTGCCTTCGGCTTCGGACTTCTAAGACTCTCGTAATTTCTTATTTACCGCCCTCTTAATACACAATGTTAATAATTCATCACAATAATTTGCTGCAAACAGTGTCTAACACACTCTTGTTAGTTCTTTTTTACCGCCCTTGTACACAACGTACTGTCGTTCACTTCTTGCCCGTGGACCACCTGACTGGTTCACCTGGGTGGACCACGGGCAATTATTTCTTCTCGTGGATCACATATGCGTTGGTCACTTTCCACTGTAAAAGTGCCAAATGACAATGTTTGTCACTATACTTTTCAAAGTCTATGTCTATATAATAAAACGCCTAAATAATTAATTTCACATATTATTTATTAACTTATTTAACAAAATCAATAATCACTGTATTTACATTAATGAAAATAAAGTATAATAACATGCTTAAATAAATAACTAGAATATTTAGCATTAGGAATAAAAGGAAGATCTGTATTGGCTCGTTATACAATGATTATTGTTTTTACAGAACATTTAGCTTTATTTTTATCACACATGGCTATTAATCAATATCATGAGATAATTACTTAAGAAAAACGCAACATGTTGAGTACCAGCATTTCTTTCTAGATTTCTCTAGCAACAAAAGTACACATCTTAACGCGCCTACGACAGCATTCACATATTAAAAGCTGTCCATTGATGACATCATATAAAGCATTATTTTATATAACTAGTACAAACACATTTTAACACAATCTACCTACATGTAACCTGGTGTTACGTTATAGTTCACATATCCAATGCGTAATAAATAAGCCATTAGAAACTGACGGTTTGTTTGTAAGCTTGCGCCGTCTGTACCGTTAATGGTACTGCGAACTACTAAACAATTTAAAAGTATCCTTTATTACCTAATTTTAGCACTCTTTTTTTATAAGAGATCTATAGAATCAATGCACGAAAACACTGTCCAAAAACACTAATATTGTCCTCTCTGGAAGCCAAGGCCAACGCCGCGCATAGTGTGCGTGGTGGCTCTTGCGACTTCGTATTGAGCTTGCATAGCTTGGAATAACTCTTCTTGCTTTTTTATTGGATCTGCTGTTTTGTCTACCGGCTCAGTTTTTACTGCTTCTGGAGACAAAGAAGTTGAGACATGAAAAAAATAAAAGAAACATTGTGCCCATCCGAAAAGTTGTTTGTTTCTTGAGTAAAACAAGTGATTTTGATATATAGGCTAGAAATAATAATTCTAAGTGGGTGGCCGCAATGAAGAAAGTTGCATAATAGTGCAATGATTTGCTATTTTGACAATTAACGATAGAGTACTTTTATTTTGTTTAGTAATAAACATACCTGGTTGCTTGATACCCATTAGCCGCATAAACTTGGAGACCTGTTTGCCATCGTTGTCCTGGGCGAATCGCGTGCCGCTCCACTTGGCCGCTTCCTCCGCCTCCGACTTGTTCTTATTGGACCATAGCAGCTTGCGTTTTTGCACCTGTCGAATGCAAATATTTACGTTAGTTTGTGAACTTTGAAAATAGCTTCTCCCTGGAATTAATTGTAAAGAAAAGGCAATTCTATATTTCATCTCAGTTAATCATCTCTCAAAATAGTGTTTTTGGCAGTTTCAATTTTTTTTAAATAGTGACAGAAGTCTCTGTTTACGCATAGCAACACCTGTGATAGCAGAATCCAAAAATGACCTAAACTAAATTCATAAGACCATACACCAGTAAAACTACAACTGTACGGTGTTGTAACTGTCTATAAACATTAATAAGTCATAATTGAGCTTTAAAATCTTAATAACAGCACTGATTTGTTAAATTTTAAATAAGGTTACTGTTTAACCCTATGACCGCCATAGACACTTTAAAGCGTCAATGAAACCATATGTTATTTGTGTAAACTAGTTGAAGATGGCTTCATAGTTGCATTATATATTCAGTTATGTTTTTCTTTGTCTTAAAATTGAATTAAAATAAGGTTAACATTCATAACAAGTCACATCACTAGACTTGGCGCCTAGGAAACAAAATGAGTTTTTGTCAGTGGCGGTAAAAAGGGATACTTTTTGTCATCAGCCTATTGACTAGTAAACCAACGTAGTTTAGGGTCTCATTGATATTTACAGCGCTTGAATTGTAATATGAAGGCAGGCCGGAGGACTGTGTAGGCACGTCGCTGGCGGCCGCTCGCAGCTGCTGCGCTGTCGCCATCGACCCATCCGGCGTCTTGATCTGGAGACCTACACGATCAATAGAAAAAATAAATGAGTACGACGAAATATAACGAATAACTCTGGCTATGGCGATAAAACGTGCTTTAAAACTTATCTAAGTTATTACATAACATCGTATATAACCAGAACGAAATTTAATTTGTTTGAAAATTATTCTGCCAAATCATTACGGTGACAACTACGCTCCGATTGGTCAGTCCGAATCAGTAACAATTGAGGGGTGTCGTCAAATATTTCACTTCAAATCGACCAGTTTAACTTGATCTTTGCTATAATGGAGGAAAATTGAAAAATTACACATTCATTATTTAATAAATGTGATTCCGTTTGTTTTGTGATTAGATGTTTGCTGTTTTTTCCACACCACCAAATGGAACAGTCCCTCATAGTTAGAGATATTATCTTTATTACAATAAATACAGAATATTTTTGGAATACACGGAGACATACACACAGGTCAGTTGTTGGCGCTGTACTATTTCGGTTTTCTAATTTGTGATTTCAGCGCAAACGAGTTGATATTTAAATGTGATCAATAAATAAAGAAAATAAATATTTCACAACACCACATACGTTGCTCTGATGCCAAAGTAAGTAACGAAAGCACTTGTGGTATGGAAATCGGAAATAATATATATATAATACCACAAACACCCACACCCGAGACAATATAAAAAAATTAGTTTCTACCCGGCCGGAGATCAAACCCGGGACCTCAGAGATGGCGATACATAAAAACTGGTGTGCAAGCCACTCGATCACGGAGGTCGTCAAACGTATTATAAGACATATAAGGCCCTGATTTGCCTGATAAGTTGCCAGGGATGGATGGCCCTTATTTCGTCTCTATTTCTGGTTATATACTCGATATTACATAATATTGTAAGATTACATTATAGAGGCAATGGTTACACACAAGTTTCGACAAGAAACCTTACCCATTTTTTCCATAACTTCTAATTTCTTATTGACTTTGTAAGATGAAGGTCTGTAATCTCCGGAAGGAGGCGATCCACGCCTCTCTCTGAAATAGATAAAACCGATTAACAAAATTTATTGCTAGTGCAGATGTTCAAGAATTCATAATCCAGATGCTTCACGGGAATTAATCTTTCCTTGTACCTACCGTCTGCCATTTTGTAGTTGGTAGGGACAAAGTCAATAGAGTATGGGGTAGTAAAGAGCTTAAATTTGTAACTCACAACTGGCAGGTAAGGTGGAAACGGTTTGTACAGTATTATGCCTTCTGGTGTTATAGTTTCGATGATCGGTTGACTAGCCCTAATTGTATATAAGCTGCATTAACAGTCAGAGTAGTTGTGATGCAATTATGAGATTAATTCAGAGGATAATTACCCAGAGGAATGTCCCTGAGGTGGGAAAGCGACAGCGCCCCGTGATCTGGATCTGTGCTCCCCATGTTTGCTGTTACCCGATCTGCAACAAGACACGGAGTGTCTTCGTATGATTAACGATATTATGCAACATCAAAAATTTAATTAAATGACATATCGGTACGGCGTTTTTCAATCTACATTGACAATTAAATTTAACATTTTAGTTTCTCTCTGTTCTGGGAACTGGGCTTGTAGAGAAATTTATGTTAACATATACGTGTTGAACTATTCCTGGACCTCGATTCAGAACTCTTCGATATTTTAATCGAAATCTTCGATTGGATATCATTCTCGAATCAAAGAATAATATCAAATATCGTTATCCTACAGCGTTTACGGAGTTAGTCGGTGAAATACGAAAAATGAAAATCCTTTATATTTTTAAGACTAACTCTTCCTTTGCGGAAGTCGCGGATCCGGGACGGACCTATTTCCGGTTCTTATGGACGGCCAGTTAACTTTCGCAAGTTAAGAGTTAAAGGCCCTCAAATATAAGAACGCATTAGTCTTGCATTAAAATAAATTAATAAAACTTAACAAAATCCAGACTATTTAAAATAATAATAGATTTCCATGTTACATTCTTGCTTTGTAAAGAATAGGACGTTCGGTAACGTTCATTCGATAACTGTGTTCTAAATAACGTAACAGCCTTTGCCGGTTGAGAAGTTCAAGTAATCATGCGACTGTGACGTCATTTCGGTTCGGTTGCGAATACCACAGTTTGACGTTCGATTCGGGCGTTGTGAATAAAAATGAAAAGAAATCGTGCGATATCAAATGGAATCGGTCGACAACAGAGTCATCGTAAGGTTCTGAATCGACCCCCTGTAGAGTGTGACGTGGTTCTCACCGTCGCTCCTCGGATCGCCGGCTGTGCCGCTCCCTGTCGCGCTCGCGGTCTTTGTCGCGGTCGCTGCGGTCCGCGCGGTCTCGCGAGCGGCGGTCGCGGTCGCGTTCCCGCTCACGCTCTGTGAACCTGCACAACATCAAACTTCTTTATAATAATTCATTCGGACTATAGTCTACTCAAGTTGGCGACCTAGTATAAGCTCATCTCTTTCGCACTACTTCATGAAAATTACAAGGACATAAGGTTAAGAGGGCGTTTACGAGCGTTAAAATAGTAAAGGCTCGTGCATAAAGGCGTTTAAAAAATGAAACAAATATTTTTTAATACATTTCTATAATATTTTTTTCAACAATCTCACATGTTACGTCAGTCAATGTCTTAAACCGAATCACGGAGTAAGATGGTATCAGTCCATTAAAAAAGCCGAAGTCGCAGGTAAGGTTATTATTATTTGTGACTCTCACAAATAATAATAACACACATACTAAACATAGCAACTAGGGAAACCCTGTGTCGCGGGCGCCATGGACATACACATAGACAACCACAAATTACACCCAAACTCACGAGAGAAATAAATGTAGGCCATACCATTATTTCTCCCGGCCCGGGAATCGAACCTGAGACCTCTGCATGGCAATCCGGCATGGTATCCATTTGGCCACGGAGGCAATCAAATAAGTAGCAACTAGAGAAAACAACCCACGTCCGCACCGCACAAATGTGAAAACCGACAAAATAGCTTTTATTAATATATTTAATTATATATATATTTAATAATAAATATATATTTAATTATGAATGCGGCTTTAATGACTTATCTCTAACCAGTAAAGTGCGGCTGTTTTTCTCAGTACTAGGTTGCTAACTTCAATAGACTGTAGTTCGGTTCTGAATGCAATAATCGCCGTTTTGTTCGAAGTGTCAACCGACTTTATACCAGTCCAAGCGCACTCTACTCTCGTGTTTCAAGAAACTCAAGCTTTTAAAACACTGTTATTTGGACAAAATTTGAAGATACCTGGGCGATACGGCGTCACGAGCGTCTCTGCCGAAGCCTGGTGGCGGCTCGCCGCCAAAAGGTTTCAGATCCATTAGAGCTGGTGGCTGCAAAACAAACGAATTCTTAAATCACGTGAAACTCAACATCGCCTGTCAACTCTGTTAAAATGAAACTCCTAAGAATTTACTAATTGTTGGCTGTATTTACCTTAGAATCTGCAGGGCGGTCGTCAGGCCTGTCGCCTAGCAAACCGCGTCGGGATGGACCGCTATCGTAGCTTCCGCGACTGCGATCCGACTTTTCTAACCTACTACAAAAATTCATATTCATAACAGATTTGAAAAAACAAATATACGCGATTTAAATCCGGAAAAATAGTTTCATTTCCTATGTGTAACAATCGCGAAAACCTAAGAACTCGATATATAACAGTATTACTTCAAAAGCAAAAATTAAGGTGTGTAATAATGGGGCATGTTACGGGAAAGAATTCTGTGTTAAAGTAATTGTAGAAAACAATAATAAGCAAAAAAATAGAACAATTAATTAAGTTAAAACTAATGACGCGCACACACTCATAGCCCCGCACTAGGGAAACCCTGTATCGCGGGTGCCATAGACACACACATAGGCAGCCACAAATTACACCCAAACTCACGAGAGAAAGAAATTTCAGCGTGGCAGTCCAGCATTAGGACCGCGTAAATTTGCATGGCAATTTTAACTGTTGTTTTTTTCTTTGTCTCTTTTTTTGTCAGAGGTTCGGAAGGAGTCATTCATGTTACCTGCATCGGTCGTCTCGTCGCGACTGCGTGGGCGTCCGCTTGTCCGGTCGCGCACGCGGCGACGTCTCGCGGCGTTTGTCGCGTCGCTCGTGGTCGACGTCGCGGCGGTCTGACTCGCGCTCACGGGTATCAACTGGATTAAAATACAATGTTTCTAAAATTTTATCACTCAGTATTGACAAAATATCAATCAAATAAATTACATTCAGTTTGGAAAAGCTTTTTTTTATAATACCAAGTCAAAGTCAAAGATTATTTATTCCATAGGTAAAATAAATTTACACTTGAAATCGTCACATTTAAGCTACTGCTCGTTGACTACGCTGATCTCCCTGAGAAGAACGAGCAAGAAACTCTAGGGATTGCTCTTTTCAAATAAACTTAAATGCTATGGAGTACACTTTGAATCAAATTTGTGTGGATTCTGGAGCCGTGTCGTCTTTCCATACATCTTTATCTAACACGTAGTCTTCAATTTTGTAATATGATTTTTCGATCAAAATATTTTTAATGTAGTTTTTAAACTTAGGAAATGATAAACTTAATATATGCTCCGGAATCTTATTGTAAAAACGTATACAGTTCCCCATAAAAGAGTTCTTTACCTTGGTTAAACGAAATCGTGGTACCATGAGTTTGGTCTTAGCTCTAAGGTTAATATTATGGATATCTTCTTCCTTATTGAAATTATGTATATTTTTACGAGCATACAAAATATTTGAGTAAATGTACTGTGATGCCACAGTCATGATACCAGTCTCCTTAAACTTTTCTCTGAGAGAAACCCGAGAGCCTAGACGGTACACAGAACGAATCGCTCGTTTTTGCAATACAAATATGGTTTGAATATCTGCCTCTTTACCCCACATGAGAATCCCGTAGGACAGTATACTATGGAAGTAACTAAAGTAAACTAGTCTAGCAGTACTAACATCGGTAAGCTCACGTATTCTGCGGACTGCGTATGCATCGGAGCTTAACCTGCTGGCCAGGGAAGATATATGTGGACAGGGTAGATATATAAGTAACGGAACGATCAAGTTGTCCGCCAGGTGGTACGCGATATTCATATCCATAGCAGTTGTAGTGCCACTCATAGCTTTAAATCGCAAAGCCTTATGGGCACTGCCACTGCGCCCGTCACTCTGAGACATAAGTTGACAAGTCCCATGTGACTACAATTTCATCAGCACCTTTTAAAACCAAAATGCAGTAATTACTGCTTGGCGGCAGAAATAGGTAAAGCGGCGGTACTTTCCTGGATGAACTTTCACAAGGAGCTCTACTGCTACTAGAACCACCATACCATACTGTTGTTGTCCCTATCTACTGACCCCAGAGATAGGGTTTTCCGGAGAGACTACAGGCTCGACGGCAAGACCAGGATACAGCGGGCGTCCGGGCCAAGCCCTCCGCCTTTGTCTCTGGCGGACCCGGACTTGGGTATGGACTCGCTGGGGTTCGTGGTTAGGTTAGAGACGGACATGTTTGTACGTGCACCCGGGGCGGCTCACCTAAGGCATTAGCCTTACAGAGAACTGGATGAAGTGCATGCAAACGTGCTGATCCGGGGTTAGGCCTGACTTAAGCGAGCTCGCACAGGGACCATCTAAGTCCCCTTAGTGACATAGGGGCACTATAAACAAAACTTATGTAGAATGATGTGAGACTGCCACTAAAGTTTCACTGAGGGCTTTTTTGCCATTTTCTTTCCGATCTCACAAAAACATCTTCATCACAATTGCTTGTAAATGATATGATTGCATGGTAGCTAATGGTGGTAAATTATGGTGGCTAACTATAATACCCTAAAAAACCTATGGGCCTTTTTTCTTTCCATTGCAGCCATGGTCGGTAAGGAGTTTTTTTTTGTACCAAGACACACTTCCTTACATTGGTCAGGTTCATGTTGAAGCAAGGAGGTTATTTAAGTTCAAAATTAAAACATTAGCTTCAAATGTTATCTAAACAGAAATTTAGCAGCCAATACATTATTAAGAATTTCTTGTAATTGATTTTAATTAATTTTCGTGTAAAAATTTTGCAAATTTTTTTTTTTACAATCTGTCATGGCTGTATGCATGTCTGCTGTTTACATCATTTTAGGTCGAGTTGTATCATCTATGGAAGAATTTTAAAAAATCGCCATTCGCGAAATCCGTAATAGTTGTGAGTGAACCATATTTATATAGTTCCTCACACATGTGATGAAAATAATTGTATGTATCATGAACAGTAAAAAAATACAAAACTAGAGTTATTAAAGCCTTTGAATTGGAATTGGAATTGCTATAATATAATATAGTATATATAATATTTTGCCAGCAGCGATAGCAGAATTATCCATAAACATACTTAAATAGAAATTATTTGACTTGTATATATGATATCAAAGATTATTTAAAATGAAAAGAAATTGACACAACCTCGTTCATAAGAATAACTGGTTCCATATATTTACAAGATTTTTTTAATAATTTATCTAATGTAATTAAATCACTGCAAGGACTTACTTTTAAATCACAACTGACAAAATGGCTTTTGACACATTGCTTTTAAATAAAGAATATTTAGAAGTTACAAATACCAATTGATGATTTGAAATGCAAATTAATTTGTGATTGTAGAGACGAATGTGAAATACCATTACCATTTGCACACCTGCGTGCAAGATCTGTATTCTACTCTACTCTATTCTTTGACTTCAGGTTTCCAAGAAACCCTTGTTAGTAATTCCTTTTATTAATACACAATGTAATATTACGATTCATTCATGCAATCACTTTTTTATGAAAGTAGAACCATGTCATTTGAAAATAAAAAATAAAAAAAAGCCCTGGTCTATAATTCAAGTGTATGCATCTACAAAACAGGCTAGTGACGAAGAAAAAAAACATATTTTACAGATCTCTGCAAGATATTATAGAGGGAACACACAAAATATAACTATACCATAATTAAATTATATATAATTAAAAGTTTTTAAAGGAAACTTCCAAGAAAGAGTCAGGACTGATGATATGACCATGACAGCTGGATACCTAAGAGCTTGGTAGAGGCCAATATGACAAATTTGTGAATGTATATTTTTTATTGGGAAATCTAAAAGTACTGAAAACAAAAAGCCTTTGTCACTATAAATGAAAACATTTTTATAATTGTGAATGGTAGTAATTCAATCTGGACCGTGATTTTCAAACAGAATCAAATCCCTTTTGAAGGACTTATAGCTTACTGCTTTCAATGACTAAAATCTATATTTCAAACAAGTAAATATCGAGTTTCACAACATACCTGAGCTTCGGTGATCGTCTCTGTTATATCTGGCAGGTGCAGGCTCAGCAGGCGGCAGTTCTGGTTCAGACTCCCCTTGTGAATCCTGCGACAAACAATTATCTACTAAATACCAATAACATAAGGTAGGTGTAGTGTTAGTCTGGTAATTTTTGGCATATGATTTCAGTATAATAAAATTTGATGTGTCGCACTAATGTTAGAATTATGATGTTATTAATGTTATATATTTTTTATTTATTTATGATTTATTTTATACGCTTCCACCTAAGTGTTTGTTGTTGTACCAAATTAAATACATTTAATTGAAAGATACCTATCTGAAACCTATTTAAGAACACATTTGATTAGAACAAGTTTAAACTGTATTTATTTAGTATTATGGCATTTATTTTTATTTTCCTGTTTACCTTCTCTCCAACATAGTAAATGGATTCCATCTTGCATCTTGAACCTTGCTAAAAATTGCATTAAACGGTGTATCGAATATAGTCACCAATTTTATCCATAATTTGTCTCAAATTTCTAGAATAAAACTGTATAACAATGACAAATTTTGTTTTCGTGAACTTTTCAAGTCAGAATAAAAACGACTAATTCCTAAATAATGAGCATCAAAAAGGATACATCGAAGCAAATATTTCATACTCTTTAAAGTATAAGAAACAATATAATTGTTAATCGTATAACTATGATACGATCATTCTGATTCTTTGCTTGATTCTTAATATCTACGTACTCACTTGGAGAAACCTTTAGCAGTGAAGAGGCGCGACGGCCAGTCATGGGGCGCTCTTGACGACCTCAGCGTGTACTCGAGGGGTATTTGACTTTTGTTTTGTGTCAATTTACAAATGGGTAACATATAAAATAATAAAAGTGTTAATATCATCGTTGAAAACAGACGACGAACATATTTTTTTTTTTTTATTAATTTTTTTTTTTTTTTTTAACGAATGATATATAGAAGTAAGAGTGAATACTAACTATATGTAGATACTACAGTTTTAGTACTTAGAGCAATATGAGAGATTTAAAGGACTATAGCTTTAGTTCTATTTAAACTATTTTTACGGTAGAATGTTTGGTGTTAATGTGGTAGTTACCTCGCTCATGTCCATGTTGACGTCATCGTAGTTGGTGTCGTCATCGCGCCGCCTGAAGCCTCCTGTGCCGCCACTCGAGCCCTAAAATATCATTCTATTGTCAAGCAGAGAACGCAGATTAGTATCCGAACCTAAACTATACATATAACTACTGTAAATTTATACTTCTTCAAAAATAAATTTGAATGTTGACTAAAGAATTACAAATCGCAGGAATATTATAAAGAATTTTATCTAATTCAAGGTCGCTTGAAGACTTACCGTGTATTGATGGCTTGAATATCGCTCAGATTCATTATCATCATCACTACCGTAACCCACGAGGGAGTCCATAATTATTTTTAGGAATGTTTTATCGTTTTAGATTTAATCGCACGAATGCGACAAGTAATTAAAGCCAAACGAAAATTTTATCAGCCAATATTCAACAAGACAAACAATATGTTGATCTAGGCAAGCAATATGGCGGCCGAGTATAGCTGTGTATGCATATAGTAGGGAAGTGTAAAGAGTTGCATTAATAACGTTATTTTTTTATCGATATAGCGTCCATATTTAAAAGAAAATAAAATTTTCGGGAGATTATGGTTTACAAATTAATTGAATTTTTCACAGATTATAGACGGTTCAATAAAATAGAAATGAATATTATATGAAGAATAAAAATGAAATATACGGTTTAAAAAATCACCATTTTCTACATATCGTTATACGTTATTCGCCTGCGCGAAGTAGATATCGATTCGCTTGGAGCTACAAGTTCGGATACACGTCCCTGTAAAATTAAAAAGCCTATCGGAAGACTGATAGGCATTAATTATTATATTAAGTATTATTTAAAGTTTTTAAAAACCTAGCAAGTTAACATAATCTGAAGATTCGTTATGGATTAGTTATTTTAAAATCAGTCTCAGCGAAATGTCACACAGGTTGAAATATACTCCACAATTTATTAGGATATAATTTCGTGTATCCGAATGTACAAAATGCATTTCTTTCACATTTTTTCAATATGGCGGACGCATTGACCGCCGTTGGGACGTCTGGCTTTTTTCATTACGAAATAACTAATTTTCTCGCAATTAATTCGTATTTGTGTGTTAAATAAGTGAACACAAAACCTACGTTTCATTTGTAATCTATAAATAATTGTGTGAAGTGTTTGTGCTACCCCAATTCGTCTGTAAAAATGGTAATGATTGTTTTTTGTTTTGATACTTTTTTACAAACTTTACTTTGTAGAAAAAAATGTTTTTCATCACTTTTGGAGAAACATTGTATAAATTAACCATGCAATGTGGAGCGTATTACATATTGAAGGAGTTAGTCTTAGAAAAATACCATTTTTTACATTTTTTTTCTTTGTTTTCAAGTTTTCTAACCAAAAAATGTGTTACTGTCTGTAGAAGCCTATCACATGTTGATGGAGTTCGAATAGTTAAGTGCTATTATGAGAATCTGCTTGTATCATTGGAGATTAAATTATGCACGCTGGGTGTGGCTGTATTGATTTTCTTGGAAGGTTCTAGGTATAGAGCTAGGGCATGTCTTATAGCTGCACTTAGGACATGCAATCCATATATCTACAATGCGGTATGAGGATGCTGGATCAATGTTTATTTCGAAACGTGGGCTTTTCGACTCTTATAAAAGACTTTGTAATAAACTATTTTAGCTTTATGTAGTGTAGAAACCAATAAAATGGCTGTAGTTATTGATTGTAAGTTAGACTGACACAGATTTTGAACAATGCTGAGGTGTATGTTACTTATCATATTTTGAGTGCAAAATCAATAAAATAGCATTGTAAAAATTTATCAGTTATGTAAGGTAATCATGGTGTGTAGGTTGCCAAGACCAGAACAAGTAATAAAAGAGTGCTGCTCCAATGTTATAGCCTTCATGGTTTGAACTTAATACAAATCTAGGTTGTGTATTACAATCCTTAATGTTACATTGTGCAATGGGAATGTTTTCCACAATAAATACAGTTTTGGTTGGCACATTGATTGACTCAGTTTTACAGTATTTTTATAAATAAAAATTTCAGTCATCAATCAAGCAATATTTTAAACACAAAAACATTCCTTTATGTGCAAAATTAACAATAATAATTTTTAACATAGTGCCCACACTTATCTACATTCATCTATTAGTACTGTTAACTAAGTTGTGCTAAAACTTTTAATTGTAGTCTAAACGTGGAAGGTTTGGGGACGATGAAGACAACCCACCCACACCATCAGATGACTCAGAGTTTGATGATGATGAAGATCCAGACAATTTGGAAGTGCCAGGTATTTACAATTCAATTTGATATTATTATAATAGCATTTCAATTTGACCTCATAATAGTAAAGATTTTCCTGTTAGTATTTTTTAATTCCTAACCTAAATGTTGAAATATGCTGGCTATGGTAGAGTGATAAGATTGATTATTTAGACAAGTTGTCTATGATGTGTAGATCTCAGTTAGATCTAATTGAATATTATTTATTTTTAAATAAAATAGGGATTTTTCTGTTTGCTATTGCAAGGTGTTTTGCATTATATTGTACCATTACAGTTGTTTTCTTTTGTTATTCTGTTTTAAAGCTTCAAACTATATTAGTAATTATTGTTAGTGTAGCTTATTCGACCAGCAGATGCGATGACTACTAGTTATAACTCGGAAACAAAATTAAAGAAATGTAGAGCTTTTTAACTTTGATTGTCTTAATTTCATTGGGGTACTAATATGTGTTTGCCCAGGTGAGAGAGTAAGTTTAATAAATTACATTCAAACATTGAAATTATATCAGTAATAGAAATTGAAGTCATAATAACAATGTTTGTGTTCTTGGAAGTAGAAATAAGTTCGTTGAATTTCTGCAGTATGGAGATGGTACAAATCTCTTTCATGGTACGAATTTGCCTTATTATATATTAAGCTTTACAAAAGTTGCCTGTTGTAAAAATCTGTAACCTGTGTATAAGACGTCTCAAGGTATTTTCAATAATACAACTACTAAAAGCTACCTAAGGTGAAAGGGTACATCTGACAACATTATTCGAATACCTATCTGTAAATTTTAATGTTCCCATTACAAATTTTTATCTGTGGTAATTTAGTTTACATACACTTGCCAATAGAGATATTTAAAAAAAAAATCTATGTCTTTTATATTAAAGCTGAATGCATCTCATTTTTGAAGTCGATTGAATTGCCTAAATTATTACAAATTTTCTTTTGCTAGTGCTTCACAATCTTGTTGTTTTTTATAAAGACGAATACTCATTAGATGATCCTTAAGTAATAGAATAGTTTTTGTATAAAATGCCACAGAATTGTTGTGGTTTGCATAAACAAACAAGCTAATGGTTAATTTCAATGTACAATTTAACACTGAAATATTGTATTTTTTACATAAGTTGTTATGACGCTCTGTTGTTGGTCAAAGTATGCATTTTTTGAAACACCTTTTATTCGAAGTTCTATTATATAAATATCATGATTTCAAAAAGACATATTGCAGTATTGTATCCATTTCCCCTTAGTGATTTTTTTTTATATAAATAATTATAAAAAAAAGAAACGGAAATAAAAAATTAGTGAGATTTTGAAATTTGTTAAGTTACATTGTAGTGTTATCGCATAAATGCGCGGGAAGGAAATAAAGTTATAACAAAAAAAAAGAACGAAAATCAAAAAAGGGTCTCCCTACAAACTACTTTATGGGGAGGTGGTTTCAGTCCATAGGGCACTGGGTACATTTCCTAGTGTAGTCAGGTATGCCTAACGTGACCATACGTCACGTTTTTAAGCTTCGTGTCCCGCTGTCCCCAAAATATTTAACAATGTCCCGTTTGACGAATGAAGTGACATTAATTTTTCTTATATGACGCGAAAGCGAAAAATATATAAAGCTAGTCAACCAGAGTACACAAGATTAGTTCTTTTTTAAATTTTTTGTCATCAAACATTTTTAGTTATTTATAAAAAAAAGTTTTTTCATTTCGAGTTCGAGGTTTTCGCGATTGTTACACATAGGAAACTATTTTTCCGGATTTAAACCGCGTATATTTGTTTTTTTCAAACAAACCGACATTTCGGGCCCTTTACAGGTCCCATGGTCACGGTTGACTGAGGTGGTACAGTCTTCAACCAGTTATGTCTAATATTAATGCAAACCACCTATTTTTTCACTATAGCTACAATAGTTAATAATTAAATACCTTATTTTTAATTTTACAAAGAAAACATTCCAATTTATGCTACATTAACTTTTACAAATTACTTTATTGAATGAATGTTTATTAAGTTCAATCCATTATTAATTAATAATAGAAATTAGAATAAACTAAAACATATTAGTTAGTACTGCAGTCTTATGTCTTGTTTGGGATTTTTCATCAGAGGAAATACTGGTTTTTCATTGTTAAACATTTCGTAACAATAATAAATTTACAGACGTCACTAAGGGACAAAATAGTGGTCTTTTTCGGTATACCATCTGATACCCTCAATAATAAAGTGACATAATTACATTTTTGGAAAAATGTATTTATGATATACATACAAAACTATTGGTACTTGGTGTAACGGGCTGGTGTCCGCAACTCAACGTCAAGGCGCCTATTTCGCGTGAAGATACAAAACTATTATTATCATTATTGATATCAAACAGAATTTTATCATAATTGACATCAGCCAAATGGCGTATGCCGCAGCTGCCACGTACGTTTTATTAATCTGTTTAATTCAAAAAGTTACTGTTTGAATTAAGACATTTTATTATTGAGGGTATGATTTGTCCAAAGTGAATCAGAAATCCTGAAGACGACAATGGCGAAACGCAACGACTTGTGACGGGTAGACTGAGGGCGATCTAGTATATTGAACTTATTAAAGCATGGTTTGATTAGGTGGTGGCAAAACCTTGGCAGCAGCTGCGCAGATGGGAAACAAAGTCAAAGTGTCTTCAGGGCCTCCCACTATCACTATCAAACCAACTACCAATCCACTTGCCGGTAAGACACACTACTTATATGTACTGATTCTTAGACTTACGCTCAATTTACATTCCCACGGGACGGAATGGAAGTGAATATTTATAACGAAATTGTATGTAAAGATCTAGCACTTAGAAAAAAATTCTTTAAAAAATTTAAACTATTTATGTTTTGAAAATAACCATGGAACAAAAGTTGTTGTTTATGATGTTAGCAATATAGTCCTACGAGGTTGTTAGTATTTTAAAAATAACCTTATATACAAGTTCATTGGTAATATTTTGTTATAATTTTTTGATGTTTGTAAATACATTATCATTTAAAATGTCGACCATATGTCAATACAATTGAGGCCCTCTTTCTTACACTTCCCGTCGGGGGTAAGCACTCGCTACGACCCTGACTCAAATTTTTCACCCTTTGTCTTTTTGATACGAAAATCAGTTTAATAAAAAATGCACATTAAGTACGTGTAGATAAGGTTGATCAGGGGGTCTACTCTCGATCTCCGTCCGACATCCGTCCGAAACAATTACTGTCAAATAAGTAATATTCGACAAAATTAAAAGACAAGTATCAAGTATGAAGCTTCATTCGCATCACGCGTCTTTTCATTTGGTCAAGTATTGCTTAGCCTTAATTTAGAAGTTTTTTTTTTTCACTATCTCAAAGTAACATGTTAAGTGTTTATTATTAAACTTCTAATGAGTAATGAAGCAAATATTGTTTTTTATTTGCAGCTGCTTCAGGATTGGCGTTCGGTCAGGCGTCAAATGTGAAACCTATCAAGATACAGGCTAGTCAACTACAGAAACCAATTAATATTGGACTTGGACGCGGCGCTGGAGGTGAGATGATACATTTACCTTGTGTCTTTGTACACAAAATTTTGTTTGTAATGCGAATCAAGTTGTTCTTAATTGTTTGATGTCAAAGATATTTTGTGTTACCAAATCGTTTTGTACAGTGGTAAGTAGGTAATTGTTTACTAAATGAATAATAAACGAAAGCCTGTTATTAGCGGGCCCAGTGGCGCCCCCAGCGTCCCATTACGCGGCGGGCTCCTCTGCCGCGTACAACGCTGCCTCGCTACTCGCTCAGAGTGAGTATCCCATCCGGGACACCGATGTATCGTTAATGCTAGTGAATGTATTGTGCAAATAGTAGTATAGTCGGTCTTGCTATCTTAATTGCTATAACTTTTATTTGCTCTATTAAAGTTCTTATTATTTGGTGATAGTGATAGATAGATTGGGTTTCATTTAATGCGATTTAAAGTAGTTTTTTATATTCTTTACTGGTTAAGTACTAATAATGTAAATGTCAATGGTCCGAAAAAGTTGTTCCACGTTATAGATACATGTATAGATATAGCTACAAGGAGCGACATAGAGTTGTTAAAACCGCCAAATATTTAATTAATTTTTCGAATTCCGGATTTCCGAATGGAGGAAACTCCTGTCTTTAATCTATTTATGAAGTTTTTTTTATAAAAAGTATTAAAATAATCTAGTGTGAACATTTTCCTTTTAAAATACGAATTTCTGTTAGTGGTTCGAATTCAACATCTGTTATCTGTGTTTTTTAATTGAAATAAAATATTTTTATAGTGCCTTCATAACGATTTTCATGTAAATTAAAATGACCTAAAATTCTCCTCGTAAATAATATTTTAAATAATTTTTTTTTTTTTTTTTTCAAAAATTCTACTAGCAAATGTCGCCATTCCCTCAATGTGACCGTCAATATGCGGCATCTAAGGAGGGGCGGAGAGTGACCATTCTCGTAACTTATTATTCTCTAAAAAGTCGTTGAAAGACCAAGTACAAAGACACGACGCAAGCACATAGAAGAATTCGTGAGGTCCGTTGGTTCGTTCCGTGGCTTAGTTGGTATAGCGTCTGGCACGGTATGCAAGAAGATGTCGGTTCGAATCCGACCGGATCGAAGGAATTTTTTCTGAGTGTTTTTTCTGAGTGTTCGATCTTTGTATTAATAATTATAACAAACTAGTGGAGTAATTTCACAAAAAATAATTGAATATCAATTCAATAAAAATTTAATTATTATTCTCTGTTTAGGTAAAAGGTCAAGTATCTACTGCATTTTTTACATGACGCCATTAGAATTACTTTAAAATCCAACTTCGACTACCTAGGACAGTAGTTTTATCCTACTATGCTGTAAAACCTTCTCCGGAAATCCGGAATTCGAAACAGTTATTAATTAATATTTGGTGGTTTTAACAACTCTGTCGCTTCTTGCAGCTATATCTATATATGTATATGGAACACTTTTTTCCGACCTATGTTAATTATAACACCAATTTGCCAGACCACCACACCCATTACTTGGTTTAAACTAGAGAGTTACGTTACGAGCACAATAGCTACGAAAGCAACTCGGTACGCTCAGATTTGAATCAAATAAACAACAGGAGCTCCTCATTTAGCGTTCACGTCGGCATAATAAGTTACCTTTGACTACCAACTTAGTAGTGAATGCGTCACTTTCGGATCTTCGTATTTGTTAATAATTCGTACGATGACGAAGCAAATATATATAAAAAAATATCATATCGTAAAACCCAGGTCCATATTATCCGTATCGACGAGATGTCACTCATGCTTCTATTTATAGACTACAATCATTAGTCTTGGATGATACCGTTTTAGTGACAAGTCATTGCATTTCATCATTTAGCAGTAGGGCTCTTTGTAAAAGAGTTCGTCCAGGGAAGTACTGCTACCTTATCTATTTTGGCCGCCATGCAGTAATACGTTTCGGTTTCAAGGGTGAGGGTGCTGGTGAAATTACAGGTACATGGGACTTGTCAACTTATGTCTCAGAGTGACAGGTATTTATTCCCTGAAAAATATCACCAGCCTCAACTTTTTTGCTCAGTACAAGTTTGAATTATAGAGCTTTGCGGAAAAGTGAAAAACAAACATTCTGACTGGCATTTTTTTTATTGATATAAAACAAAGGTATTTAAATAATTAGAGTTCGTCCCGGAAAGTACTGCTACCTTGTACTTCCCGGGACGAACTCTTACACATGGAGCTCTACTGCTACTAGTTGGAACAAGAGCGCCTAAAATTCAGAATTGTTCAGCGTTTCATTTCTATTTCATAATTATACTCCGTAATCGAGACACCAACCCACGATACTGATATAAACATATCAATACGTAAGCTACTGCATTTTGAAAGAGGTTATTTAATATGGCACGAGTATACTGTGATGAATATTTTAATTATAAATAAGATTTTGTTGAACGTCAGGTTGTTTCACCACCATTGATATTCAATTATTTTTTGTGAAATTACTCCACTAGGTTACTAGTTTACACTTACAAAAAGCGACATCTCTAGCCAGTGCTGGTAGCTGTAAAGGTATCTAACTGGGTGAAGAAATACTTTCATAGATTCATAGGCGCTATGTCAAAAAAGTCGTTGAAAAACTCAATATAAAAGATCCGACAAACAAGCACATAGAAAAATTCGTGAGGTCCGCTGGTTCGTTATGTGTGGCTTAGTTGGCATAGCGTCTGGCACGGTTTGCTGGGAGACGTCGGTTCGAATTCGGCCGCATCGGTGGATTTTTTCTATGTGTTCGATCTTTATATTAATAATTGCAATAATCTTAATTTTTTCATATCATGTTACAACTAAAATAATAATGTAACAACCCTGCGCTCCGAGGGAAATGTAGGCATTTACGCGCCGAACACGGGGATTGGTCCTACTTACTCTTATTTCATTACACTATGATAAAACAGTCGCAATTCCATCATGCGCTATCAGATATAGACAATATCGATCGTCTCCGCGACCATTGCGGAGATTTACCGGTGATTTCGTTAATAATTGATTGGAAATTATTCACGGCGACGCCTTATCGCTGGATGTCGTTGTGCTATGCAGATCAGTGTAACGATTTTGTAATATGTTTATGTAAAATTTTCGTATATTCCGAAATTATTATGTAACGTACAAAGTTGAAATGATAGACATCAGTTCGAGCCCACATTCAATGGTAATAAAAATTTATAAAAAAAAATTATGATGCCAATTAAAAAGTTAACAATTTGAGACAATATTTAGTTTAAATTAACTTCTAAAACAATTTCAGAATATTTCATTCTTAATTCTCGTATTTCACTGAATTATAACAATAATGATATTGCTTGTCACGAACAGCTTGTTTCTTTTTGTTCCTCCAATTAACATATTCTAACCCTACTTTTCTCAAAAAAGATATACTTTTCATTACGTTTTCGTAAATGTACTGTGACGCCAGTGCAAGAATGTTAATTTCTATGAAAGTGTCGCTTAAAAACAATCTGGGAAATAGTTTATAATTTACAACACATCTTTTTTCCTCTCCGCTTGGTGTATAATGGCCTAACAGCCAGTACTTATACTATATACCTTAGCCTAGTAATATCAAAAGCACATGATGCCGCTAACGTACAATAGTGAAAACGAAACTCGCTTCATAACCTTAAGAGTCTATACCACCTCAAATGGCTTTGGTTGGTTCCGCATAACAGCGAAAGTGTTGAATCAATAATTTTGGAAAAAATATATAAGTAAAATTAGGATTCCTAAACATTTTCACGATAGAAAAAAAGAACGCAAACTTACCTGAAAATTTTATTAGAAAACCGCTGTATTCAATACGTAGTTTACATATACCAATGATTTCTTTTTAAACCAACTGAACAAAATAAAACACGTATACTATACGATATAAATTTTTCAAATGGATTTAATTTCTTGTGGAAAAAAGTAAGTTCTGAAATAAACCAGTGTCCCTGCCGCCCGACTCAAGCAAAATGACCGTATTAGTACTGGAAAATATTTAATTCGAGCTGAGGCAGTATAGACTCTTAATAAAACCTGCATCCTTTACCTTTATGCATATTTGATTTATTTTTGTGTTGCTACTTTTAGAATAGGTGAATTTCAGAACACAGCTTCTTTCTTGGAAACCTAACATAGTTCATAAAGTATTTTTGGAATGAGTATATTTACTTTGGAATGAAATATACTATAACTGTTCAGTAATAATAACACTTGCCATGTATTTAGTAACGTATATATTACTTTTGGCACCCATTTATAATTCGCTTGTGATTTATAACTATTTAAATTTTATTTCGATAGTATATCATGTTTTACGAAAGAAATGCACAATAAATATTATAAAGTTTCATTCACTTGCTGCTTTTCAACCACTGATATCCGGTTAGCAATGAAGGCTTGCTGCCAAACTACAGTTAACATAATAAAATATGCCAAATTATGTATTGCAGTGGAGATGGTGGGTATGCAGGGCATGAACACGTTCCTGCTGCAAAATCTGAACCAAATCTTGGCATCTGGGATGGGCGCTCCGCTCGCCGGTATGCTGGGTCAGTTTGCACAGCTGCCGCAATGGAATCAACCTAAACCTGGACTGTGGCAGGTGGACAAGGTGAGCGTACTGACTGTCTGGAGTCAACATATCCGCTAGAGCGATCTTGTACCTACAAGATCTATGCCTATATATTTTTGATATGTTGCGTTCGGGACAAATCAGACTTTATATTCGATCGCAGAACACTAGTTTGTAATTCTTATTAATACAAAAATCGAACGGATCGAAGGAATTTTTTCAAGGGTTCGATATTTTTTTCGACACAATTGTAATCATTGGTATGCTAAAAATTCAAATATTTTGTTGAAAATATTTTGTTAAGTACACATTAAATCATCAATGTTAGAAAATGGACGACAGTAAATGTTAATATATTTCTCTCATGATTGCTCGTAATTTAATAAGTAAATATATAAATAAATAAAATAAATAAATAAATAACCTTAAACTTTGTGAAAATTTTTAATATGTTTCTGTCGTGATAGCTTATAATTTAATAAGTAAACAACCTTAAACTTTGTGAAAAATGTTAATATATTTCTTTCGTGATTGC